AAAAATTATTGTGACAGCAAGTTCCCAAATATAACATGATTGAACTATGACACCTGGTGCTTAAAAGAAGAAGATCCTGAATAGAAGTGCATTCTTTGCACTGAAGGTACTAGATCTTTGTAAACTGTAAAGTGCTGTGCACTGGTCAGTTGTTGCTATTTAGGGATGCCTGGAGAGTGAAAGGCAAAGGCAGGCTGTGCCCCACTTCCTGATTTGAGAGAGACAAGCTAGAACTTAGCAGACATTCTTGAATGTGGAACACAGGGCTCTGGCATGAGTCCAGGCGGTGTGGTGGGTCAAAGAAGAGTTTAGAAGGCAGGTGGTGTCAGTGGGAAGGAGGAAAGGTGACCCTGGCATTCATATGCATGGCACCAAGAGAAAATTGCTAGCTCTGACCTCTCTCGCAGCAGCTCTGCCCAGCAGCCGGATGCCCTGCTCCAGGCACCAAGCACAAAGGACAGACACACTCACAATCCAATTTGTTACATTTCCACCTTCCAGGGAGAGAGGGAGGTGAAATAAAAAAGAAAGAAAAATCCCATTATCTTTATCTGTCCTTCCCATCAGGTGCAGAGGAAAATGCAAACTGGGGAGACAGCTGCTGTGAACTCTTTATATTTCACTCAGAAGATAGTGTATCTTTTTATTGCCTACAGGAATTACTTATTTGAAAAAATATATCCTTTCAGCTCGCTCGACTTGAGCCGCAAGACAGAGAGAGGGTGGTGGAGTTCTGGGGCTATTGATAGAGCATTTGCATTAAACTACAGGAATCTCTGGAGGTCATGGACAGTGGCAGAAGGGAGAGGAAATGGGGGCTGCAGAGGAGACTGCGTGTGAAGGGAATCGGAGTTCTCTCTACCTCCCTGCTGTGTACCTGGGCCCAGGCACTGTGCTTCCCTGAGCTGCAGATTCTCCATCTGTGCAGGGCAAAGAATGGCACCAATGATTTCCCTTGAGGAGTGAAGGGAGGAGGAAAAGAGCTCCTTAGTTCAGACAGAAAAATGTCCTGCCTCTGCTAGTCTGCTAAGAAGTGGGGAACTTCTCCTAGGCACCTTGGCACCTCCATGCCTGGCACAGAGCTGGCCACAGGGTAGGATCTTCTCATGTTTGTCGAAGAGTTAAGTGATGCAAACAGGTACCTACCCTGCCCAGATACCTGTGAGTGGAAAGGGATGTAAACCTGGTTGTGGGGACAGCCTCATGTGTAGCAGGGGGAGTGCTACCTGGGCACTGTGCCTTAGAGCTCCGCCTCAGTCCCAACTCCTCCCGCTGGGGTTGCTTTCCTTCCCCAGCTTCCAACAGATTGCAGCGAAAGTGGGCCCTGCGGTTCCTGGGATAGTTAATTCTACATGTCAACTTGGCTGGGCCACAGTGCCCAGATATTTGGTCACACAGTATTCGAGATGTTTCTGTGAGGGTGTCTTTTTATGAGATTAACATTTATACCAGGGCGGATTTTGAATAAAGCAGATTTCTCTCCATAATGTAGGTGGGCCCCATCCAATCAGTTGAAGTCCTGACTGGAACAAAAGACTGACCTCCCTTGAGAAAGTGGGAATTCTGCCAGCAGATGGCCTTCAGACTTGAACTGCGTTGTCGCCTCCTCCCTGGGTCTCCAGCCTGCCAGCCAACCCTGCAGATTTTCGACTTGCCAGCCTCCATAATTGTGTGACCACTTCTTTAAAATGAATCTCTCTTTCTGTTTCTAGACACACACACATGCACGCACGCACACAACCCTTGTTGGTTCTATTTCTTTGGAGAACCCTTACTAACGTGGTTTCCCGTCTTAGCTCCTTAATGCCTGGACAAGTCTTGTGAGGGAGTAGAGGGAGAGGAGTGGGAGAGCTCTGAGGAGCAATGAATAGACATGTCAGGAGTGAGCAGTTAGGCAGAGCCAGGGGCCACAGCAATGATGAAAGGCAGGAGCCAAAAGCCAAGCAAGAGCAGGGAGGGTTGGGCTGGATTTACTTGGGACAATGACAGGGTGGTGCCAAATGTCTTTGCTTCCTGCTGAGCTGGCCTGGGAAGGGTGCTCCTGCTATGCCAGGGGCTGGGCATCAGGAGAAGGAAGGCAGCCTTTGCTGGATGCCCTCAGCAGTGGGAGAAGAAAGCACAGCGGGTAGGGGGAGAAAGTTGGGGGGCATGCTGTGCTGTCTTGGCCCTGTCCAGCACTTGGGGCTGAGTGAGTGCCAATGTGCTATGCGTCCTATTGGCATAAATAGTCACACCTTACACTTGTAAATTGCTCTTAGGCTTTCAAAGCACTTTCACCTACATGATGGGAACAACTTTCCTTGCCTCTCTCTCCCCTTGGGGGCTGTGATTGAACGGTGTGGAAAAAGCATTTGGGTCTCTCAGGAGGCCCCAGTTTTCTTGCGATGCAATCTAGCTTTGGTAAGAAGAAGCCTAGAGCTTTGCGGGCAGCTCCAAACGCTGGATTTAAAAGGAAAAAAGGGAATTTCTCAGAAGAGCACCCATCATGGTTGAGCAGGGAGACATTGCTGAGCAGCTCAGCAAGATGCCCCTTCCCAGTGAGAGGGGGCCCTAAGGTTCAAACTGCCCCAGGCCTCTCTTTGTTTCTCCCTGCTATCTGTCCCTGCTGTGGGGATCTTATTTCTCCAGGTGTGGCCCAGCAGCAAATGTGATGGCAGAGGGATCCCCTCTGTTTGTTTGGATGCCTGGAGCTTGAACAGTCACGGTAAGCACTGGAGACCTGTTTCCCCTTGGAAGTTGGTACCTTTCCCTGGCTTGTGCAGCCTCTAGCTGGGGAGACCAGCCACCCTCAGGTAGGTCCTTTTTGCAGAGCTGCCCTTGGGCTTCCTTTCATCATGGTGGATGGCAGGAATGACTGTGCCTGCTTTGTCTGCTTCTGTTTCCACTTCAGATAGTCTAGAACTCTGGCTTCAGAAGGCTTTGCATCCCATAAAAGACTTGCTTTGCTAGGCTTGTGCTCCCAGGCTTTTTGAGGGAGCGATTTAAGGGACTCTCAGGACGAAGATCACGGGGCTGCCTTCTGTGAGCCCCTCCATGGGAAATCACCTATTCTTAAGCACAGAAGCATACATCTCCTCATGCAGCTGCATGCAGGTGCTCCTTCTGTGTTCTGGCACACCTTTGCAATCTCAGTTTCCAGCATAAAGGAGCCTGCTCCTATCACAGCTCTCCCTCTTGGCCCCACTCTGTCTGGACCCTCCTCCCACCTGAATTGCATTAAGGACCCTGCAAAGCTGAAGACGCCCACAGATAAAACAAAGGAACAGTGGGTGCTAGCTGGTTCCACTACCAAACTCAATTCTCCCTGGAAAACCCCTTTAAGGAGTATCCCACTCAATTGTTTGGACGTGGGGAACACAAAAATCCTCCTTCCAGGAACTGTTCTGTCTCCCACTGGGCCATGACAGGTTCCTTCACCCTATGAGTCTGTGGGATCTTCATGGCAGCAAAAGCAAATCAAATGCACACAGACACATAGGCCTGGTCTGACTCTAAGGGCACACACGTGAGCACACACTCACACCCCTCCCCACCACATCACATATTGGCTTCCTCTGTGTCGCAGAAACAGCATACTCAGAGACACCTCCACAGTGGAGGGAGACACAGGCTCACCCAATCTCCCTCCCTCAGCATCCAAGCTCAGAGCACAGGGCCAAACAGCTTCAGCCAAGAGCCAAGAGAGAGGAGATGGGGTTAAATAAAGAAGTGAGAATTTAGAGGAGTTGCTACAACTTCCTGATCCTAAGAATCTTTAGGCATCAGAATTCAGAGGGAGTGGGGTGAAGCAGTGGGAGGCGACGAAAATTCCCTCTGGATTCTAGAAAATAGCATAGATGCCCGTCTGTCTTGGATGGCTTAGCCAAAGCCAGCTTAGAGGCCAGATGGATGGATTAGAGGCATCTGAGGGGTCCTCCCACCACTATGTTGCCAGGAATCTCCAGATACGAGCATATACACACATCAGTGCTTCTCCCTCCATGCCCAGCATCAACAAACAGGCACACTCAGTATCCTTATATTATCCTCATAATCAGTGACAGCAGCAGCCAATACTTACTGAATGTGTATGATGGACCACACACTGCATTAAAGAGGCTTTTACATGCATGATCTCACTGAATTCTTACTACAAGGCAGGCACTATGATTATCTTCATTTACAGCTAGGAAACTAAGGCATACACACAGGTTACTTGACCAGGGTCACACAGCTAGGATTTGGAGGCACCAGGATTCAAATCTAGATGTGTTTGATGCTGGCCTACAATGCTGGAACCACCTCTCTTCCCCGCGGGCCTCTTCAGATCATGGGGCTCCCCATGAGGATTTCCCCCGGATAGCATCCTATGAAATGCTTATGCAAACCATAACTGGCTCTAAGTATAGGTGGCCCTAACCAGCATGCCCTTGTTTATAGAGGCTGGGAGATCTATTCATGGAACATTGAGTTAAAATGTCATCCTTCTCCCCAGCAGGCTGTCATATCTCATTTTCCCTATACTTTCTCTCCATTCTCTATCACTGATCCAGCTCCCTCAAGCTGTAGGCATTCGGCAAAAATTATAGCCACAGAACTGAGTGGAAGGGAAGAGCCTCGGGTGACGACAGAGGTGGTGGCAGGACCTTGGGACGCAGGAGCTCAGACTAGCGGACTCTGCCCTTAAATCCCTTTCTTTCCAGATATGACTCCTTCATTTCCCACCCCTCTGCTATTTAAAGGACCCCAGAGGCATATCCTGCCAGGCAGATCACCAACAGACTACCAAGTGACTCGCGGCCTCCTCTCTGCAAACTGTTCACTGACCAGCTCTGGTCAATTCCAAGCAGTCCAGGAAGGCAACCCATGGGCTCCTCGGGGGTCTGGGCATGCCTGACTCTCTCCAGCCAGTGATTCTCCCCCTTGGATCTCTACCCCAGCCCTGCCTCTGCTGACAGGAGAAGGTGAGGTGTGTTCAGGACCAGCCACAAGGACAGCCCCTGGGTGGACAGCCTACTCACCCAGATCCATATCTGCAGCTTTGGGCCGGTGAGAGCAAGGCACATTCTTAAAGATGGCATCTAGAATCTTCTCCTTGACCTGAGTGATGGTGTCACAGTTGAGGATCTTTACTGGGACCTCGGGGCTGTTGGCATTGTCTGGGCTGACACAGCTCAGGACCTGAAGGAAAGGTGGGGAGAGGAGGATATGAAATGGGGTAGCAGGAAAAGCTCCTAGATCCCCAGCAGCACCCTGGGATCCCATTCTAAAAGGCTCTTCCTCTCCAGGATGGGCTGGGGAGGAGTAGGGTGGCTCTAGGCCATCTGTGCTCCCACCAAGTCCACTGCCCTTTCCTGTCTGGGTAAGCAGGACAATGCCTTGGCTTCAACGTCCTTGAGGGAGTGCAAGCTGCACACTTCACTCCTTGTCAGAACAAACTTCATTAAAATCCTGATTTTTCAAAGGGACAATGCCCAAGCATGTGGAAGCAGTGAGGGGAAATTTGCAACAGAACACACATATCAATGCATCCATGCACACGTGCTACCTCTCTCACATGCACACAGGAGGCAGTGTCGTAGCGGCACACCCAGACCCTCGCCCACCTCTGAAACTCCCTGCCCATCCATATGTGTCTGTCTCCTTCTTGTCACTCCTTCTCGGACGCACACTCACACACAGAACTAATAGGAATCTGGCTTCTTTCTCCAAAGATTTCACAAGCTTCGATTTTTGTGAAGGTTTCATTTGCCTGATTAGAGGTTGGCAAATCTATAAGACACTTAATGTATTCTTTAAAAACAAAAAGATGCCCTTTAAAGATTGCAGGTTCAAGACACCTGAGATTCTTTCCTGGCCCTGAACTTGAACCCCTGTGTTGGGGGAAGAAGTGACTGCATAGTTCAGGGCTTCCATTTCTCTTTTTGGAACTAGTAGGGAAAGTTAAAACTCTGCTTCACCAAGCTGCCTTTTTATTTTTTTTTTCCTTGAAAAAGTTCTGGGCTTTTCCTTTAAAAAGAACAAGGCTTTTCTTCTCTTGCTGTTCTCACAGTGGGATCTTTCTAAATCGACGGCACCGTGTGCGCTCCTGGGTGGACTGGTGGGGAATGGGGGTGGGTGCTGTGGGTACTGGAATAAGTGAGGGCACAAGATCCAGGGCAGAGAAGCTGGGCATCCTAGGGGTACTGATGCCAAGTGGCCCTCCCCTTCTGGGCTCCCGAACTCTCCCTCGGGCCCTGCTGCCAAAGAGCCCTCTGTGAGTCTCTCTTCTTCTTGGAAATTTCACTCCCTCTGTGCCCCCATAAGCATTTCCCAATTGTCCTATCTGGTTTGCAGAGCCAGACACCAGTCTCTCTCCCACTCCACCCCCCTTCTTGCTCCATGTGGTGGCAATCAGAACCCTGGGCTCTGGGCACCTGCCTTTCATTAGCAACTAGACTGCTATGAGCTCCAATGGAAACATGCTTATTCCATTAAGAAGGGAAAGAAAAAAAAACCCTGAAATCTATAAAACCAAACTCTTACCCTCAAAATGCCCTAACCTAAAAACAATGGTGGAGAGACCTCTGCCCTGAGCATCCCCATGTGTGCCTCCTCCCAGCTCCCCCCTCCTTCTAAGAGTCTTCTGGCCCCTTCCTTCTGCTCCACAGCCGAGAAAAGACTGACCCCTGGGCCGTTCTGGCAGCCCCTGCTGTCCTGTCCTATGGGCCCTGGTGGGGCAGCTCAGCCTTCCCAAGACAGCAACATGGTTTGCTCTGGGCTTCCTCCTCTGAGGGACCCATGAGGCAGAGGCGGCCACCTAAATGTAACCTCCTGGCATTTCTAGTTGCTGCAGGAGCTCAGCATGGCCTCAGGAGAACAACTCCATGGTGCACTTCAGGGCAGGGGTTGGCGTTCTAAAGTGGAAGCAGTGGCCCCACAGAAGGGCAGAGCCCCTGGCCACTGGCCAAGCCAGAGCTCCACCCACAGGTTCCCTTCCCCCATGCTCCTTGGCTAGTTTGTGAACAAGCTGCCTCATGATTTCTCTGCCAGGGAACTGCCTCTCAAACGCTAATGTGCACACAAGCACTTGGGGGCTTTGTTGAGATACAAATTCTGATCTAGGAGGTCTGGGATGGGGCCTGAGATTCTCCGTTTTTCCAGGTTCCCAGGCAACTAGCTAATGCTCCTAGGTTCCCCGGTGGGCATCTAGTGCTTTAGCAGGCTTCCAGGTGCATGTCTAGAACTCCAGCAGGCTCCCGGGCAGGCACCTAGCACTCTGGCAGGGTCCCAGGTGGGCATCTAGTGCTCCAGCAGGCTCCTGGGCAGGCAATTAGTGCTCTTGCAGGCTACCAGGTAGGCATCTAGCATTGCCTGGCTCCAGGCTTCCACATGGGCACCTAGTGTTCTAGTGAGCTCCTAGGTGGGCATCTTACACTCTAGCATCCAGACGTTGCTGATGTTGGTACTGGGGCACTCCCACTAGCAGGGTCCTTGGCCACACCAGTCCAAGCTCCAGCATCAATCCAATAAATCACTAAACCCTTAGGAGGCATACCTGACTGCAAAGTGGTACACTCACTCTCCCCACAAGCCTCTTAGAGCCTCTCTGTGGTTATCTCTCCCGCCCAAGACAAGGCTACTCTTAACAGGCCCATAGCACTCTGGGCTCCTTCAGCCACCGCCGAGTCCCAGGACTCCCTATCTTTGTATTTGGCCTGCTCTTCGGAGTCTGCACGCCCTGTATGCTGCCGTCCTGCACGATTTCTTGCTGTCTGCCCACACCCTGAAAGGGCTGCTCCCCTGCCCATGTGCAAATACCTTCCCCAGGCCTGAAGGCGGCTATTAAAGCTCCCTGTGGCCATTTCTTCTCCAGGCAAAAAAACCACAGTTTCTTTCCTCTCTCCTCACTGCTCCTGTCCCCAAGTGTTCCCACCTAAATGGATACTGGTCCCTGAACCACTCCAATGTCCTCACGTTCTCTTTAAGTTGTGGCATCTGAAATCAGCTCAGTGCACTAGCACTACTGTGGCCTCTGGAACAAAGGATGCTACAATCTGGGGACAGAACATGATTACAACTCATTGTGTTGGATTCAATATTGGGAAGGTGCTGAGGAGACAGGAAAGAAAGGGAGTGGAATGGGGAAGACAGGGTGGAAGACATTTACGCAGTAGTTCTATCTCATTAAGAAATCCATTCAGGTCTCTATTTCTGGAAGGGTTTTTCCCCCCTTTTCCATTTTAATCGGAGCCTCTCTCTCTCTCCTTCCAAGCAGATGGTAACTGCCAGGAAGCAGGGGCCTCGTTCGCAGGCTGCTCCTTTGAATCTTCATAAGGAAGCCAATCCCCACAAATCTGTTCCGATGTCTACTGGGATTCCCGGGGCTTTTGGAAAATGAGAGTGGGATAGGTGGATCACGGTCGCCATCTTCCCAGCCAGCAGGGATGGCTTTGTTCAGAGGTGGGAACTGTCTCCCCAGCTGGCCACAGGGTCTGGAATTTGCCCTCGACTCAGAGCAGTTGGAGGGGTTGTCCGGGAATCACACTCCCTCCCAGTCCTACCACGCCCCGGCCTGCTGTGGCTCCCTCTGCATTTGAACTTCCATCTGTTCCCTGTCCTCATCATTCCCTTCTGTCTCTTTTCCTTCCATTCTTGGGTGCCACTTGCATATCACCCCCAACACTCAGCTTTTATCTTTTCATACTCCCTCCTTCCACGTCCTCTCTTTCTCAGAGAGAAAGGGCTGGCTGGAGATCACAATGATCTCCAAAAAATCCTGAGAGTGAGCTCCCTGGGTTTGAAAAGACAGTGAGCAGCGAGTGGACGCACGGTCACAGTGGGGAGAGGCAGGCAGGGCCTGTGTGACCAAGCACTAGGGCATGAGTATGACACGGGCTTCACCACCTGCTCATCTTGTCCCATTGGATCCCCTGCACAACTTCACTCTGAACAACTAGGATTATCCCCACTTTACTCGGTTCTGTTGGTGTTCTCATTTTTTCCGATAAAGACACCCAAACTCAGAGAGATTAGGGACCTATCCCGATTCACCCTGTTGGTCGAAGGCAGAGTCAGGGCTCAAATACAGGTCTGTCTGTTCCCAAAGGCCATGCTCTTGAATGCTAAGCCTTGGTGCCTCCTAGCGTAGCTGTTTTTGTCAGGTGAGGGAGCCTGACCTTAACGGAGGGGATCCCTATGTTCCTTCAGCAAACGCCTTGCACCACCACGCCCCCTTGGCTTTGCATTATACAGCTCGGGTCACAGTTGTATTTGAACTTAGAGCAGAAGGCAATGTGGGCTTCAGAACTATGAGGAACTCTTTCTAGCTTCCTTTCCTCTCTATCCCGCGCTCTCTGCCTGCATGGACCTCTTCTGTAAAGCATTGACTCCAAGCTGGGAGGACAGAAGAGGAGTTCAACTGGGTCAAGGGCTATGACCCTATAACTGGTGTAGCTAGAAACCCCCAGTTCATTGGCTGAAGTGTCACTCAAATGTGTCTGAGCTACTGGTCCCCAAATCCAAATGCGCTGGTGAAACACAACAGAGGAAGTCTGGGGTGATAGACACAGGGGGAGCATCTGGCTGGGCCCATACAGCAGACACACCTGGAGAGGTGACCATTCAGCCTTTCCGCCATCCCCTCTGCTGAGCAGGGCTACCCAGGACCGAAGCCCACCTGTCAAAGCCCCAGGGGAAACAGATGGGTGGGCTCACCAGGGTTTTGTAGTCAATCTGCTGGCGGATGAGCTTGTCCTCGCTCAAGGAGTAGCGGGCCTCACCCGTGATGGCGTCGATGGGGCCCTTCTCCATCTGCTGCTTGATGGCACAGAACAGAGAGAAGAGGGGCTCCCCGGCACACTCCTGGAGGTGAGAAGAACCTCATTGGGAGCAGCTCCTGGAACATTGGAGTGCACTCCCGAGTTCCTACTTCTCCAAAGGGCGGCTTCCATCCCCTGACAAGTCCCTCTGCCTGCCCCCACCTGCTTTTATACTCAGCTCTTCAATCTCCTTCTCTCCAACTCCTCATCCTTCAGGGTGGCATTCCTCCTGGCTCTTTGTATCACAGGGTCTTTTCTCATTCTGCCCATTTCTCCTTTCCTACTGCCGCCTCTCCAGGGCTCTTTCTTCCTTCCCCGCTCCCCTCCCCTCCCCTCCTGCCCTCCTCTCAGCTCCTCCTCCCCGCCAAACCCCGCTCTCTCAGAGGCTCCATCCAAAGGCAGAGGTCAGTCCTGGGTGGCACGAACTCCTTAGAACATAAGTTAATAATTGGAAGCTGAGCCTCTTCCACCTCCCAGGCGCATCCTTGGCTTATCTGCCGCAACATGCGGCTTCTGCACCGGCCCGGGGCCCTTATCAGCCTCAGTAAGTCTGGGGCTGGGAGAGGGAAGAGGAAAAGCAGAGAAATAATGGGCAAATTGTTTTTAGCTTCAAAGGGGGATTCAGCTTTAGGGACCATGCAGGGCCTCTCAGGGCTCATCTGTCCCTCGCCAGGAGGGAGGAAACTAGCTTCAGGAAGACTGTGTCTTTGGAGCTATGATGGACTGCAGGCCTCTGTTTTCCTAGACAGTCCATGATAAGGATGGATTCCATTTCTTGTGGGGTTACAAGAGCCAGGCCCAGTAAGGGAGAACTGGGGGTTGTGGAGTGATCCCCAGTCAGGCTGCAGAGAATGAACGAGGCAGGGCCAGAAATACGTCCACATCCAACCCTACCTTGAGGAACTTGTAGAGGAGGAAAGTGAACCAATTGGTCAGCATCTTCTCAGCCACCGACTCAGTCCTGTCAGTAGTCACCGAGGGAACCAGCGGAACAAGGCAAAGAAAGAAGCAGCTGGTCAGAGCCCGCTGGCTGGGAAGGGCAGGGGAGGAATTGTGCATTGATCTTGCTGCTTCTAGTGTTTAGGCCAAATCTTGAGATCCTAATGAATATAAGAGTTTCATGGACTCCTAGACGCCCCCATATGGTAAGACAAGCTTTTCCTACAAAGCTGGAAGATGACATTTTGGGCGTCAGGCTGTGGGAGGGTTTTTGGCTGGAGTGCCTTAGAGCACCGCTGACCAATTGCACATTCTGTGATGATGTAAATTTTCTCTACCTGTGCCGTCTAATATGGCAGCCACCAGCCACACGAAGCTACTGAGCACTTGAAATGTGGCAGCATGTCTGAGGAACTGACCCTGAACTTGTATTTATTTTTAACTAATTTAGATTTAAATAGTCACATGTGGCTCAAAGCTATCCTATTAAATAGTATAAACTTAGAGAACTTTACGGGCTAGTTGTGTTCTTTTGGGTAAAAAAAAAAAAAAAAAAAAAAAAATCCCAAATTCCTGGGGAGGTACCAATTTGGCAGGGAATAGGAATAAAGGTGGCGGGAGAAGGGTCCATGTCAGAAGACCAGATGGCCAAACTGAGCCTACAGCCTGAGCTAAAGGCTCCTGGCATTCACAGCAGCATAAAGCCATATACTCAGCTCATCCCAAGCCGTGTCAAAACTGTCCTATTGCGGTTGGGCGCGGTGGCTCACGCCTGTAATCCCAGCACTTTGGGAGGCCAAGGCAGGCAGATCATGAGGTCAAGAGATCAAGACTATCCTGGCCAACATGGTGAAACCCCGTCTCTACTAAAAACACAAAAATTAGCCGGGCGTGATGGCACGTGCCTGTAGCCCCAGCTACTTGAGAGGCTGAGGCAGGAGAATCGCTTGAACCCAGGAGGCAGTGGTTGCAGTGAGCCAAGATCTTGCCACTGCACTCCAGCCTGGCGACAGAGTGAGACTCTGTCTCAAAAACAAACAAACAAACAAACAAACAAAAAACTGTCCTATGGCAAAAGCTTCCACATCCTTTGGAACTTCCCTTGGGAGCCCTTTTACAGTTTCATTTGCAATGACAGAAAGTTCATTCTTGAGTCTAACTTGTGTCTTTCATGCTACAACACAAGCCCATCTACTCTTTTACTTTGGAAGTGAAGATGCAGAAGCAGTGCAGTAAGCCCAAGGACATTCTTGGTTGCACCCATTTAGAGAAAACAAATTATGTTCAAACTTGCACTAAGTATGTGGCCAGTTCCAGAGAGAAACTAGCCCATCCAGGTATGTCTGGATAGTTTAAAGTTGCAGTTGCCAGAAAATGCTAATAACTAAAATCCCAAGGTAGTTGGGAGGCTGCCAGCACAAAATGAAGCTGGGAAGAGAAAAGAAGGAGGAATATTGAAAGGAGGTAGGCAGCCAGGGGCAAGAAGAAGAAAAGGAAAGGAGAGCAGAAGGAAGCAAGAGCATCCAGGAGAACAGAAATGGAAAACAAGGGTGGGGAGACACAGAGGCAGAGCGAGACCACGCCGGGAAGTTGTCGGTGGGAGCTCTGGCAGGCAGTGGCAACCCTAGAATTATGCCAGTGGGTGGCTGTGTGGTGAAAGTAAAACAAAAATCAAAATGATCTACCTTGCTGTTTCCAAAGCTGTCTGCTGGCTCTTATATGCAGCAGACTTTTGCAGCTGTGCAGGCAAATGCCCACTGCTCCAGGAAAAAGCCTGAAGTAAACACTTCTGAAAGCCAAATCTATCTGCTGGACCAAGTGGGAACCACTGAAGCCTAGCCTTAGACCCAGAGACCAAAGATGGAAGTCTGAGGGACAGGCAGAGAGCACATGAGTGGTCTAGGCAGAGGGCTAGACAAAATGACATGATGTGGGAGTTTTCTAACTTCAGATATGCCAAGGTCAAAGGTATTGGAATAACGGCCTAGAGGAGACATGGTCGTAGGGTACACGGAAAGTTCAAACAGAAGCACTGATAGAGTGAGACAGTCTCTAGTTCCTATAAGGCCAAAGTCACAGGATAAGGTTATGTCTTTACATAGGACCTTTAAGGTTTCAACAGTATCAAGTCTGAGGCCTCCAGGGTGTTGAGTGGTGGACTCTGGTCCCATTTAGAGCCTATAGCAGGTGCCAGGAAACACTCGCTGGGCTGCACTGAGTGAGACATCACCAAAGGACTTTCCTTCAGTGCTTCTCAAACTTTAATATGGATTGGGATAACCTGGGTTCCTCATTAAAATGCAGATTCTGATTCAGTGGGTCTGGGAGGGCCTGAAATTCTACACTTATTTATTTATTTATTTAGAAACAGGGTCTTGCTCTGTTGCCCAGGCTGGAGTGCAGTGGTGAGATCATGGCTCACTGCAGCCTCAAACTCCAGGGCTTAAAAGATCCTCCTGTCCTAGCCTCCAGAATAGCTGGAAATTTACAGGTGTGCACCACCATGCATGGCTAATTTTTATATTTTTATTTTTGTAGAGATGAGGTCTATGTTGCCTGCTATGTTGTCCAGGCCGGTCTTCAACTCCTGGCCTCAAGAGATCCTCCTGCCTTGGTCTCCCAAATTGTTGGGATCACAGGCATGAGCCACTGTACCTGGTCTGTGATTCTGCTTTTCTAACAAGCTCCAGCATGCTCCCGATGCTGCCCCCTGCCACCTGATGGCACGAGGCCACAGGTCTTCTCTCCTAATCCAACTTTGGACTTAGATAAGGCCAGAGGATGGTCTAAGTGACCTCTGAAGATTCCATGAGAGGAGATTGCAGTAGACAGGGTCAAGATTAAGTAGAAGGGCAGAGAAGCAAAAATGGAGATTTGACATAGGGGCAAGAGAACAAGAGGGTGAGCCAACAAGTCCACGCACCCTTGACTCCTGAGGACAGTGGACAGATTCTTCTCAGGGGGCCTGCAATGTAGCCCTGGCTCTGGGCTAGTTAGTGCCTTGAACTTAGGAACGTGACTGCTCTCCTAGGAGCTCTACCCCAGTCTCCCTGCAAGGCATGGTGAGCCAGGTGCATGACTGGGCTGGAGCAGGGTGCCGCAGACTGCACCCTCACCTCCTGAGCAGCAGCTTGGGGTGGTTCTTGCTCTCCAGGTTCTTGTCTATGAGGTCGGCCAGCAGCTGCTTCAGCACATCAGTGGCGTACTCCAGCTTGCTCTGCAGCACGGTCATGATGAGCGAGGCCACATTGCCACGGTCGCGCATGGAGAAGCTACGCTGGGACTCGAGCGTGCGGATGAAGGACAGCAGGAACACCTTGTTGTTGATGAGCTGAGCGAAGAGCTTCAGGCCTTTCTCCACACGCTCCTGCCGGTAGCCTGGGACCTGCAGAGAGACCTAGGAGTCATGATGCCATTGGCAGGGTGGGGAGCTCAGTGACCTCCCCATGGGACGGCTGTGCCCATACCCATGACCCTCTCACCCACCAATTAAGCCACAGTTCACCTGGCTAATGCTGTGAAGCCCTTAGCACTGAGTTAAGTATCTGATTAACCTCGATTGCAGCCTCTAGTTTAGAGACAAATCAAGTGAAGCACAGAGAGGAGAGCATCACATGGTTAGTAAATGGCGGGGCTGGGATGGCACTCACTTCTGCCAGACTCCAGAGCTCTTCCCTGATGGTGACGCAGAGTTGATGAGGGCCCCTGTGCCATGGCAAAGCACCTCACAGTCCCTGTGGGGAATTCCAGGTGCCCAGGGCTGTCATGGTTTACACCCTGAGAATCCCCAGCCCTAAGCCTGGGACTAACCTAATGCCCACCCCTCTTCAGCCCTAGGGGTGCTGTTGACACACCAGTGGCCTCAGAGTCAGGACATCTGGGTTCCACGTGGATTCTGATACCACCTTGCTGGGTAACACTGGGTAAGTCTCTTTCCTTTTCTGGGGGCCTAAGTTTATCCACATGATCAAAAGGGAAGATTGAGCCCAACCATCTCTAAAGAACTTTCTAACTCTAGCATTTGCTGTTTTCTTAGGGACTCTTTCTAAGACCCTGCTCTATCCAGGGGAAGAGGAAGACGACGGTCTTATTTTCCTGCCTCCATTGTCTGTTCATTGGGAGATCCCTGCAAGGGTGTGCCATTCACTCAGCAAACATGAGTCAACAACTCAGGTAAGTACGGAAGATCCACCTCTGAGATGTCCAAGGGTGTGCATTGCAATCCTGTCAGTAATAGCTCCAAACTGGAAACACTCAGATGTCCAGCAACAAGAGAACAGGTGGAAGAACTGTGGTGTATTCTACCTAATGGATACCACACAGCAACAAGAATGAATGACCTATGGCCACACACAATAACAGGATGGGTCCTGCAAATGTACTGGATGAAAAAAGCCAGATGCTAAAGAGGGCATAGTCTTCATAGAATACCATTTAAAGAAAGATTTAAAAAGCAGATAAAATTAATCAATGGCTGTAGATAAATGGCTGCTCTAGCGGGTGGCTGTAACTAAAAGGGGGCACCCTGGGACTCCTGGGGGACTGACCATGTTCTGCTTGGTGCTGGCTTGATGGGCATGTTCACTTGGGGAAAAGTCATTGAGCTGCACGCTGACAATTTGTGCATGATTTGTATGCATGCTTCTGTTAAACCAAAAAACTTACTTAAAAAGTCAGCTATAGGATCTGCCCCCAAGGGGGAGCTTCTGAGAACACTGCAGGGTGTATCTCCTGAAGTGGGGCGCTGGAGGAGGCAGGGAGTGGGAGGGATGGTGTGGGGAGGTGCCTTCGGAGCCACACCTTGAGGGCTCTGTCTCCCCGAGGGGTTGGATACTCTAGTTCTTTGAGAAAGAGTGTCATGTATACAGCAGTAACGAGCCTGGTTTCAGAGTCCATCATACTTGGGTTTAATTCTGTCACAGTCATTTCCTAGGGCCCTTAGTGACTCAGTTTCTTCACCAGCAAAATGAACATAATGATAGCTAATATTGATATAGATCTAACTCCACACTACTATTCTATGTACTTTAGAAATACTGACCCACTTAATGCACACAGCACCAAAAAGGTAGGTTTGTTATAATCCCTATGAGGGACCCTGTGAGGCTAAGGAGCTTCACAAAGCCCCAAGACAGAGAAGGGTGGAGGGAGGTCATGAATCCAGGCACTTGGCCCCTCGTTCCGCCATCTCCAGGGACCATGATGTGAATTGAAAGGAGAGAGTGTATGAAAAGCTGATGCACAGCCCAGCTCCTAAAGAGCAGGTACATTCTCCTGCTCTACTCTTGAGGTTTTAAACTGGGAAAAATGGAGATGGCCAGAGAAAGCCTTGTTTAACCAAAGTCACAGGGTGGCAGAACATTCATGATCCTCATTACCAATTCCCTGTGTTCCTGGCTCAGGGCAAGGCACTGGCAGGAGGCCAGGTTCAGTCAGACCCAGGCCCTGTCCTGAGAATTTCAACCAGGAGGCCAGCCCCAGCGAGTCCTGAGGTCCCTTCCACAGTGGGAACTCTGTGAGCCAGCCCTGCACCCTGCACAGAAGGGCTCTCATTGAAACCTCCAACTTGCCGGGTATCAGTAGCTCCTATGGATCTGGAAGCTATAGGAAATGTGTGTGTTTCCAAATCAGGTCCATTTTCATTTCTCTCACTGTGGTGCTGGTCGTTGGAGGGCCAGTTCTCAGGAGACAGATGGGAACAGCCAGAGACAAGCAGGCTACAGCAGGCCACAGCCCCTGCTGGCGAACCCCTCACCTCCGGAGGTGGGACTAGCCTCTGCTTTCTTCATGCCCGCCTCCCCCAGTTCTCCCCTCCACTGGGGGCTGATGAGGGAAGGACAGCCTTACCTTGCCATCAGCCCAAGCCTCCATTGCCCCATTTATCTGTCTTCCAACTCTGTGACCATCCCCGTCACATACATGCCGCTGTCCTTCAAATTATTCAGAAGAGCAGTTCTACGACTTGTTCTAATAATAGTAGATAATGTCATTTCTTGAGCACCCACCATGTGCAATGCACAGTGCCTGGCACATTACACACATTGTTTCAATGAATTTTTCTAATGATCTTGCAAAACTGAGCGAACAATCTCTCAGAGAAGCTATTGCAGCTATTCCAAGGCAGCCTATCTCAGGATAGGCAGAGTTGGATTTCGAAACCCAAACTTGTTTGGCTCCCAAGTGCCCGTTTGTCCTCCCCATCTTTCACCATGTCTAGCCCTACCCCTGGGCTTGAAAGCTGTCTGAAAGCCAACTCGGACGTCTCTCTAAAGCCTTCCCGTGCAGGGCCTCCCACCAGCTCAGACTGGCTGGCTAAGGGAGGGCAGTCACCAGAAGATTTAGCACTATGGCATTTAGAGAGGTGGAAGAGGACATGGGTTGGCCAGATAGCACACTTGGTGTGAGGATACACTCTGGGCTTCTTGCGAGGCTGCCCTTTCTCTGTGTGCAAAATGCACATGCCTCCTGGGAAGAGGTCCGGGTTCCTGGGAAGGAAGATTTTAGCAAAGCCACCTACAGCGAAATAGCATCCTATTCAGCAGCACGGGTTTTAGAAGCAGAGAGACCACAGTGACTCGTAGGTGGAGGAAAACTCCATCACCTCTGGGCTCTATTGCCTCTCCCGTAAAATGAGAATATGAGTGTCTATGTCATAATGTTTTATGAACATTAAGTAAGATAATGTATGTAAAGTGCTTGGCATGCTCCATGCACGCTTAAACGGGGACAGTTTTATTACCTGCCTTTCAGACTCCCTGGACTGCTTTCCAGGGATCCCTTTCCTCCAAGAGTTTCCCAGACATCCAGTGCATCAGGACAGTGTTTTGGGGTGTGGGAGGTAGGAATTTTCTCCCCACTTTATGAAGGAAGGAGATGGAAGTGAAGTGTCTTTGTAAGGAGTATCCAAAACAGTTCCTCACTGTTGCCTGCCACCCTCCCCAGCCCAAGCAAATGCTACTCTGAAACAAGACTTTCTTTATTCACCAGATGGTTCTGTAATTTAGTTGAAGTCTGTGAGTATAAAACTGGATAGTAAATTTTAATTGTAACCCAATAGGTTAGAGTTTAGGAGCCAATGATAGGTTGAAATTGGGAGTGGAAGATTGCTCTGTATTTTAAAGGGTTGCTACATGACTAGTGCCTGGGAAGCACCTTTCTTGAAGGCCTGGATTTAACCCAGAGAGCTCTACGTGAGGGGGCCGGGCGACCTCCCCTCCAGGACAGCCTGAAGCAAGAGGACACCTCCTTCTTCACACTTCCAGAGGTGAGCAGGAACCCCAGTGGCTGAAAGGGTTGGGAAATACTGGTTTGGATTAATCAATGACTTGTTTCCATACTCAGAACACCAAGGGGGAGAAACTACTTCAGGGGCAAGAAGGGGTTGGAAAAAAAACAAATAAGAAAACAGTGATCCACACACAGTCCCTCAATTTCGCATAGAAGGCTGGATCTCACATAGCTCCAGGCTAATGCAGGTCAGTAAAAGTTCTCGGAAAATCCAACTTAAAAGTTACATCTTTAAAGGAAACCTACTTAGATTTGGAATTCTGAACTCATGAAGAAAGGAGAATAACTTTATATACTCGTCCTCGCTGCATTCTTATTTAGATTATTCCATCCCATCCACAGAGTAGTATGGGAATGTTCAGACATAATTTCCCTTCCTACAACCTCATTTCCACCTTAACTCAGCCAAACACACAGATACTCATTTATTCAATCATTTACCACTTCCCACATGCCCACTATGTGCCAGGCACTCCACTCTGCTGGAATTTAGAACTACAAAAATAAGGTACATGCACAGTCTACACATCCAATCACACATACACGTGTGCACACAATGGTCTTATCTTCTTGTCCCTCTCATGTCTCACTTTAAACAGGAATTTGCATACTCTCCAGGGCCCTAAGAGAATCCTGGTAATTTGAAGCAAACAAAGGTGAGGCTGGAGAAAAATAAAAGGAAGGGAAAAATGAGTGGGACTGGGGGAGGAACAAAGACCAGGAGCAAGACGAAGGAAATGGATGAATAAAAGTATCAGGATACACGTTATGTTTTTATTTATGCACGGGATACATGTATACATGCATGTACACATACATACCTATAGACAGAGAGAAAAGGTACCTTGACAATGAGGACATAGAGACCGTCACCTCCAACTTCTGAAAGTGTCTCTTGGTATCTATCAGTTGAGGAGCCAAAGGGAGCCTCCTCCAGAAAGAAAAGCCCATGCCCTCAATATAGAAACACACAAAAGCACATGCTTCATGCAACAAGCAAGTATGGAGAAATGTGTGTGCCACAAATGCCCCTCTGGACTTCTCACATTTGCTGCAGAGGTACACAGCCTACTACATTCCCTTGGAGAGCCCGCTTAGACATTCCCTCGGGTGTCGGTACCTGCAAACCCACACAGCTCCTGAGTGATGGGTCTGCTTTTATTTTATGGACAATGTAAACCTTGGAATTAATCTTAGTTTGCATTGTTGCTTTGGCTGTAGATTTTTGATCCATCCACAGCTGTAAGGCAGGTCACTGACATAGCTCCCCAGAAGTCCGGCACAGAGGTCTGTTGTTGGGAGGGAAGACACTGACATCTAAATGCCTGAGCTCAAATCTCCCTTCGGCCCCCACCAGCTCTGTGGTCCCAGGCAACCACTGAACTCTGGCCCCTTAGTTTTGTCACCTGTATAATGGCCTTACTTACTGCAGAGGCTTCTTGGGAGGTGAAATGAATGAATGCGTGCAAAGTGCTTAAACTGGGCTAAGATGTTAGTAACAGTCAATTCATAGTGATTACTCCTTAGGATTATTATTCTGTCCTGGTCTTTTCTCATTTATATTTTTCACTTTTCTCTGGTATTTCTCTCTGTAAGCCATTCCAAAGCCCTTTCAGAACAAAGTATAATATGAATAGACACATAAGCCAGATACCATGCTAGACGGTAAGCAGGATAAAGTGTTCAAAAGATGAGGTCCCTGCTGGTAGAAGAGAGGGTTATGATTTCTCATTCACATTTCCACCCCGCTTCCCAACACATCGTTTACCTTTTCCAATTAAGCACTAAGTGGTAAATCCCTTATATATTGAGTACCAAGTATGTGAGTCAAATCCCCTACTTCATGGACCCTTAACCAAAGGTCCCTGAGGTTCCCCAATGTACTTGCCATGTTTCTTGTTTCTGTGCATATGTAGTTTTTTCTGGGGAGAGGGACATCAACTACTTCCATTCAATTCTGAAAGGGCTCCATGACCCTCTAAGATCCGAAGCCCTACTCACATCTCTGTTCCAAGGTTCCCTGGCTCGGCCCCACCTCTTCCAGAGGGATGGGCTGATGCTGACAAGCTGGGGGACCTTGAGCAAGTTGTGTCCTCTCCCTGGCCTTAGCTTTCTCACCTCTGAAAGAGGGGCTGGACTTGAAGATCACCAACACACTCCCCTGTTCTAACGCCAGGATGGAGCACTGCTTCTCACCTCGAGGTCCCGGAGGACAGGGTGGTCTTCAATTCCTGGGAACAGCACCCGCATGGTATAGGTTCTGTAGTCCAGGAACGGAATCCCGGCTCCATCCAGGTCACTGGTCAGCTCATGGATGTCCGTCTGGAGCTCGGCAAAGGCTGGCACGAAGAGAAGCCTGTGAGATTGCTGGATAGGGAGGCCCCAGGAGTCACCTCCATCTCAGAATGCTCAGAACTCTTACCCAAGCCCCTAGGAGACATGAGCAATGAACCACGATGGGCAGGAATAACTGGAGATGCTGTTTACTTAGCTGGGATTGGGATGAACTGCATTAGCATGGGAGAAAGATGTAGTGCAAGAAACCTTGCATTGGGGCTAAAACCTTTCCAAAGCGTGAGTGATGGGGGATGGTGGGTGAGGCTGTCCACAGATCTGTGCTACTGCTGGGCCAGGAGAGACTCCCCATCTGAAGATGAAGGGCTTTGGTTTGCAAAATATGCTGGGGAGGGGGATGTAGAGGGATGAGTAAGAGAAGGGAGAGGTACCATGAGTAACTGTCCATTCCTGATGCTGTGTTTTATAATAGATTTCCTTATAAGATGACAAGAACAACTTCTGATAAAGGAAAACAAGTTTAAAGACACAAGTCTGGACCATGCAGCTCATGAGAGCCATCAAACCTCCAAATGGGGCAGAGATGGAGGCTCAGCCACACTCAAATAGTCCTTCTGTATAAATAGGCAAGGTATTTCTCTGCCCTTCCTTCCTCAAGGTGATGCTACTTGATGGTGAATTATGACCTGCATATGGGCACTGCTGTGTGTGGTGGCAGCTTAGGTCTCCAGATGAACACAGTGGCAAGACCCCCCAGGAAAGTGAGCATGCAGTACAGCCTGAGGCTGTTACATAGCGCCAAAGCTGTCACCATACTTCGTTCTGAGAACATCCTCCCCCAGGGCCACCCTCTGCCACAGGGGGACTCAGGGGTGAGGCACCCAGCCCTTCCCTGCTCTGGCTTTCTCTTTGGTGTGTGCACACACACATATGTGTGCATGCATGCACATGGACAACTAGGACGGATTAACACATGCTGGCAAAGAACAGCCAGTGGGCATTGACTACTAAAAAATATTCCTTTCTATTTACATAATCTCAAAAATAGGGAGAAAATATTTTGTGAACTCAGAAGGGATGAACAAGCCCAATGTGGCTCTAGAGCCTCAAAAAGCAAGCCAAGCGCCCAGTGAGCCGTGATAATTACAGAAACACAACACAGCCACTCTAGGAACTGTCTACAGGGACCCCAGTCTCGCCCTTGCCCATGAGTTGGGTAGAGCTCCACACTGCAGAGCAGACTTCAGGCCCTCAAATTTTGGCTTTCTGTGCCAGGAGAATACCAAGACTGCTTGTTTGAGAGAGCCAAGGGGATGCCACCTGGAGAGGCCTCTGCAACCTCTCCTGCTGCTCCTCTTTCCCTGCACCCCTGCACCTCTGCACTGGCCACACAGACACAGGGGTTCCTGATACGTAGCCTGACTTCGACAGTAGAGAACCCAAATGTATCCAAGTGGAGCCTGCACCAATGGGTGTGCATGTGTTTTTGGCATGTGCTGTCACCAAAACCCCTGGGGAACACTCATGTATGTCCTGAGTGAGGAACATGGGTGTGTATGCTTATAGGAGAGCATGGGAACATGTGCATGAGCATAGGTGTGGGTATGTGGGCACTTATCTGAGTGTGTATGTCAGGGAGTGTGAGTGTGTGAGTGTGACAGTGTGTGAGCATGAGTGCATGAGGGTGTGTATGTCAGTGAGTGTGTAGGCATGTGTGAGTGTGAATGTCAGTGTGTACGCATGTGTGAAGGTGAGTGCATGGGTGTGAATGAATGTATGTCCATGAGTGTGTATGTGTGTGAATGTGAGTACCTGCATGTGTGTCTCAGTGTGTATGTGTGTGTGACTGCATGAGTGTGCATGCATGTCAGTGTGAGTGCATATGTGTGTGTTGGTGTGTATGCAAGTATGCATGTGAGTGCATGAGTGTGAGTGTGTGTGTGTATGCATGTGTGAGTGCATGAGTCTATGTGCGCAAGCACTTGTGAATGCGAGTGCATGAGTATGTGGGTATGTCAGTGTGTGCATGCATGTGAGTTGAGTGCATGAATGCGTGTGTGAGTGTGCAAGCGTGCGTGAGTATATGTCAGTGTGTTTGTATGAATGTGAGTACATGAGCGTGTGAGCACATGAGTGTATGTCAGTGAGTGTATGTATGTGAAAGCATGAGTGTGTGAGCATGTCAGTGTGTGTGGGCATGTATGTGAGTGCACAAGTGAGTGTATGTGACTGTGCATGCATGTGGGCATGTGAGTGTATGTGTTAGTCCACAAGTGTATGTCAGTGTGTGTGGGCATGTGTAGGAGTGTTTGCAAATACATGGGTATGTTTATATATCAGAAGCTCAGGCCCATGAAGGGCCCAGCTGGGTGTCTTCTGAGTTTGTGTAGAGGACGTCCTGGCTGGCTGTGAAGTCTTCAAGGAGACCCCTTGGCTTGGACCAGTGCAGCCCTGTAACCGTTCCGCAGCCGGCTCTGGGCACCCTGCAAAGTGTTTCCGTGGCTAGTCTGACAAGTCCTTTGCTGTAAGGCCCCCTCTTCCTACGTGCACAGCATAGCTCGCCCCTAAAGTCTGAAGCCAAGGTTTCCTCCTGGGGCCTCAGCTGACAATCCTGGGTGGGAGCTCCCCTCGGCTGCCCCCTCCCAGTTGGGGTGCTCAGCCCACAGGGAGAAGGGGGGGTTGGCTTTTTATCAGTCTGCAGCTTTCCTTTAAGTCACCAAGCGCCTCCAACATTCAAAGCAGCGTGCCTGCCACACATAAAAGAGATTCTAATCACTACACCTAATTAGAGGAAAGAGTACATTGCGGAGAAAAAAATTAAGCAGCGTAAATATAATAAAAGGCAGTAATTAACGGTCCCACAAGACGGATGCTGTGTTGACAGCTGAAGGATGTAGAGAGGGGATGGAATGGATCCACTTCCCCATCAAAAAGAGCTGTGGCTGCCCTGGTGGGAATCGGTGTGAAGTGAGAGCCCCAGGTACGGGGCCGGATTTACTCCATTTATAAATCTACAGCAAAGAACCAGCTCAGATCCTCCCAGGATGAGTCACAAAATGATATCCTGGGGGTTACAAGAGTCTGACTCCTAAATTTCCTTCTTGGATTTAGTGCAGCTGATTTCACTTTATGGTGGTGTTTGTAATTTTTTTAATACAAGCTGTGAAGCACCCTTCCTTCTAAATCACAGATCAGCCCTACAGCCTTACCTTCCTGCTAGAGGAAGAAAGCTGAAGATTGCTGAAATGCGTCATGTTAAGACACCCCCAGATCTCCCCTTGAGTAGAGTGCAAAACCCACTCAGCCGGGATTCCAGGTCTGGAGGCTGCTCTAGTGGGGTGGAGAATGATCCTAATCTGACACCTTCAAGGAGAGGGCAAGGAGACCTTGGCCTCTCTGGTGTTGCCAGGATAGGGCCTGCTTGGGTATGGGTGTGGTCTGGGACGCAGGTATAGGAACTATAGAGTGAGAGGCTTTGCAGGTAGCATGCACAGCCTCCAGCATTGCCCACAGCTGCCTGGCCTGCTTGCTTGTAAATGAAACACATGTATACACACACACACACACACACACACAGCCTCCAGCACTGCTCACAGCTGCCTGGCCTGCTTGCTTGTAAATGAAACACATACATATACATACACACATGCACACACACACACACACACACACAGCCTCCAGCACTGCCCACTGCTGCCTGGCCTGCTTGCTTGTATATGAAACATATCCACACACATACACAGATGTGCACACACACACATGCACACAGACACATACACGGCCTCCAGCACTGCTCACTGCAGCCCGGTCTGCTCGCTCATATATGAAACATACATACACACACAGAGGTGCACACACAGACACATGCACACACACATTCACACAGACACACACACCGCTAGCCTCTAGCACTGCCCACTGCTGCCCAGCCTGCTTGTTTGTATATGAAACATATACATACACATACACAGATGTGCACACACACACACACACGGCCTCCAGCACGGGGCCACTCAGTACCTTCCTTGCACTCCAGGGCCACACGGGACTCCAGGTTGTCCATCTGCATCTGCAGCCGCTTCAGTGTGAGGTCACTTTCGCGGGACTTGCGTTTATAGGCGATGAGCACGGCCACGATGAAGATGATGAGGAGGCCACCAGCCACCGCGATGCTGACGATGGCGGGCAGGCTGAGCGGGCTGTCCGGGGCGATGTACACCATCCCCGGGGAGTACTCCATGCCACCGACACGGGCCTGGGGGCACACCGGGCAAGAGGGAGCTGGGTGTGGGGACACAGCAGCTTTGGCAACAGTCCCAAGTCACCCAGGAACTGGTGACCAGGGCAGGATGAGGGAAAGGAGACCAATCACTGGTGTCAAAATAGACAAGAGGGCATGGGGGGCTGGGAGCAGGGACAGATGCAGCTTAACAGAGCTCACCATCAACTGGAAACACCTCACCTCCTCTTATTCAGGAGCGAGTTTTGTCATCTTCATAAGAAAACAGCACACAACTGGGACCTAAACACAGTCTGCCACCAATGACTAGATCCCCTAAGATTTATGCCCATTCTAAGGGTGCACAACGGAAGCACAGAACATGATATTAAGATATTACAGACTTCCATGGGCCAGCAACGGCCTTCTCCTTGAAGACTTTCTTGTTTGTTGCAGATGATTTAGCAACTATTTAATGCTGTTTTGCATTTTCCTTATTGTTGCACCAGCCAGCATGGAAAGAATGACAATACAGAAGAGAGAAGCTCAAAAGGGGACACGAAGAGAGAACTTGGGGTGGGTGGTAGCTAGGGGAAAAGTTATCTGTGGGCCAGAATCCCCTCTTGGAAAGCCCTGGTGGCCTGAGACAGAGCTGGGCCGCTCACACCCACATCCCTAGTGCCCACTCCATCCGGGATGGGGTTCTCCCAGTCTCACCATCACTTTGTGCCTGCCGATGAGGTTGGGGGACTCGCAGAGCAGCTGGACATCTGATACGGTCACGGTGCACGGCTTCTCCCCAACCAGCACAGTGTAGTTCAGCTTCACATTGCCCCCAGCCACAGGCGGGATCAGGTTCTTGCCCTGTACAGATGGGAAAGCCCCAGTTCCCATCCCAGAGTGAGGACCACAGCTACCAGCTGGCTCTCACATCCTCCCACCTGGAGGTCCTATCCTGCTGGGGAGCTGGTGAAGAAGCCACCTTTGGTAATAAGTGCAAAAAATATTCGTGGCACGACTACTACCATTGCCTCTTCCTCCCAGTGGGTAATCAGTTATCAAAGTATTCCTTTCAGCTTATCCCAAATGCAGCCTCAGAATCCTTCTCAATGCAGAGTTGGAGTCAGTCACTACCGATTGATTCAAGTTGTCATGAACTTTAATTAACTTGTGACCCATGTTCCAAAGGGGGCCCTATGCTGTGGTTCACACAAGGCTGCCTCGGAGGAAGCAGTGAGCCTGACCTACCAGTACTTGGACTTTCAGGACAATAAAAGCTTGAGAGTCAAATAGCCAAGGTGCATCTGCCTTCCCTGGATAGAACCGGCCCATAAAGAGAGTTTTCTTCCCAGTACAAACTCAGAGAGAACATTTATCACACTCTGGGCTACACTGCAACCTCTGCAAGAGATGCCGGTTGAAAAACGTGACTGGAGTCTGCGACTTGAACATCCCCTTCCATGCAGCAGCCCCTCCTTTCCCCACCCCCACCTCCTACCACCCTCACTCCACCTTTAGGATGATGGGCGTGCCAGGCTTGAGCTCCAGGATTCCTGAGGGACCAAAGGCCTCAAACACTGGGTTGGGATAGTAGGTGAAGTTGGTCTTGTTGAGGATGAGCAGAGACTGGACGTTGTCCAGGATGAAGCCAAACTCCTCGGGTCTCTCGGTCAGGTCTGACTGGTGGTCAGGACCCAAAGCGAGGGCGGGTGCCTGGCAGGTCATCTCAGTAGCGTTCAGAACCTCACAGATCTGTGGGAGGAGCCACAGGGCGGAGCCTATGCAATATCTCCACATACCCACAGCCCCAGTACATGTACCAGGCCTCCCTGGATGTCATCGAATAGCATGGGGTTGACAAGAGGATTAGAGATGAGTCAGGACCACACAATTGGGCCCTCAAGGAATAGGTGCTATAGCTTGCAACCAGCTCCGGTTTTGCCTGTAGTGGGTGTGGCAATGGCTAGTGTTGGAAGAATGAAAGAGTAAAGGTATAAAACCCTGGGAACCCCAAAAGTAATTGCTCCTCCATGCCTGTACCCCAAGAAGTAAAAATGCCCTTACATCTTCTCCCCCATCCCACTATCCGAGTATTCAAGGGTGTCACAGGCTGTGGGTTATCAGTGTATGGGCAGGGAGTCGCCTCAGTACTTGGGAAGACCCACACGTTCGTGTGGGTAACCTCCATGAACCCCATCAGCCCTGCACTCACATTGATGTGCTCCTTCCCTCCATGCTTGGCACGGATCTGGGGGTTCTGTATGAGGTCCAGGTGGGTCCCCCATACGGCGATGGGTGTGTTTCCACTGAGCAGGAAGAAAGAAAGAGGCGTGTAAATCATAAGTTCAGGAAGAGCAATGGCACTCTACAATGATGACTGACTGAGCTACAACAATAAGGACAGTGACAACCAGGCAGCAGGGTAATGTTCCTGGGGACAAAGATGACAAGCTGACTGCACAGTAATGACGACGAGCATCTCGGCAGCCAAGGGGAGGACAGTAATGACCAGATGTCTGTGGCCATCCTTTGCTGAGTCTGTTGGGAGCATGGACCCCTGTGGAGGCCCAGTCAACAGCACAGCCCCCTTAGCTCTCCAAGACGTTTTGGTTTGTGCCAGCTGCTTCTCTGCAACCCCTTGGTGTCTCTTCCTCCATCCTTCCCCTGGTCCTTGCTAATCTTGGGATTTTTTAGACATTAGCTTTGGCCTCATGAAAGCCTCGCTCCAGATTGTCCCCACCACATCCTCCAGGCGCTGAGCACAGTCTGCTCCCCCAGGGCAATCATTTTACAAGTTTCCATGTTGGAGGCTTTGATCAGGCTGAGATCTGGGAAAGGCAGAGGGTCCATGAATGCAAATGTGAATGCAAGTGAGAAACGCTCTGGGACTCGGGTCTCCTGCACGCTGGGGTGGCACAGGACCGCTGACAGGGAGGACACAGGACTGCTGACAGGGAGGGCTTAGGAGCTTCATCTTGTGTCGCTTCTCAAAAGAAACCTGGACATCAGTGCCCATCCTTAGGGCAGCTGAGAAGTGGGCATAAAGTGGTGGGCAGTACTGTAGTAGACTGTGTCCTCCGGGGGGCTACTCAAAGAAAAATGAGAAATAGGCTGATCCCCAATCAAAGGAGCATCTTCGAGAAGAATCCTGCTATCTAAAACAGGCTTTAGCAAGTTAATTAGCTATAAGTTGATGAGTAAAGAATCCTTGACACACACACCCACATTCATTTCCACCCATCTATCCATCTGCCTGCACACACACACGTGTGTGCACACACAGAGGAAGATTCCTGTGAAACTCAGAGAGGCTCCTGCACATGCGACAGTGCTATAGATGACCTTCTGGTGTCTAGCCATCTTCCCAGTCCTCTCAATCACCAATTCAACACACATTTATCAAACGCCCACCATCACTGTTCACAAGTAACCCAGGCGGCTCATAAGAGCAGAGCCTCACCCCATCCTCAGACTTGATTAACTTAAAGAAAAGCCCTGGAGCTGGCTGGCAGACCCAGAACATGTCTGTCTCCATCCTCCCTCCTAGTGGGAGCATGATGCAGGAATGGTAGCTGAGTGCCAGGAAGGGTGACACCTCTATTTCTATGAGGATGACACAAAGAATAACTGAATTGTACCAGGCTGTGAATTTCGCAGAGTTGCAAAGTTTGTTGACTAAGTCACAAAGGGCTGCATCAACTTCCTGGGGCCAAATCCTGGTATGGCTTTCTACAGACGACCTTCCCCTCTGTGCCTTCTGGTCTTCATCTGCCTTAAGGTCATGGCTAAAGCTCTTATAAAGTAGGTTTGGGCCTTATAAAGTAACTGCTGAGGACGGCCAAATCTCATCTCAGCAGGCAAAGGCTGTCTTTCTTTTGGGCTTAAGGCAGGGGGTGGCAAGCTCTTTCTGTAAAGGACCAGATAGTAAATATTGTAGGCTTTACAGGCCATATGGTCCCTGTCGCAGTTACTCAACTCGCTGTTATAGTGAGAAAGCAGCTATAGACAATACATGTACGAATGAGCATGGCTGTGTGCCAATAAAACTTTATTTACAAAAGCAGGTGGCTAGCCAGATTCAGCCCACAGACTGGAGTTTGCCGATCTCTGGATTAAAAAAAGATTGTTCCCTGGACTGGACACATCCCTGCTCTCTGCCTCAGCCCGGGGAGACCACTTCTACATGTACTTCCTGCTCACTCCCCCAGCCCCACACCCCTGAGAACTGAAGCAGACAGTGAGAGGCCTGGACCCAGCAGGGGGCAGGGGGAGGGGGCGGAGCCAGGCACTGCCCTGTGCATGTGCATCTCACTTCAGTCTCTCAGCTGCCTATGCGAGAGTGGACAGAAGAGGGACTCTGGTCCCAGGGAGGTGAGATAACTGTTAAGGTCACCGGGCTGGTAAGCAGTGGAGCTGGGCTGAGACCCTTCCCATGCTGCCCCTGTTACAGTGATTTCCCAGTGATCTCTGTGAGCCTTGCATGGGGTGCCCTCTGCAGCATCTTCTCATTCCCATGTGCTATCCAGGTGCCTACCCCTTCTCCCCTGATGGGAGACATACCACTCCAGGGACCCTAGAGATCCTGGGATTTCAAAATCCCCGGATGAATCGCTGAATAGGCAGAGGCCCAGGAAGAATACCAATTTGCCCAAGGTAAATGAAGGTCCCCAAGTCCCTGCCCCAGGGCCTTTCTGTACCAACATTCCAATGCCTGGTCCCCTCCCTCTGAGACAGGTGTTCAGTGCATCTGGCTGGGCCCTGGGAAAAAGCAGGGAACAAGACCTAAACTCTACCCTTGAGGAGGTTACAGCAGAGGGGAGGAGAAATGTAAGCAGGCAGCCAGGAGCAGAGAGGATGGGTATCTGGATAGGGCCTCCAGGCTCAGGACACAGCTTCCCCCATGTAAGCTGACTACAAGGAGTAGTCAGGCCTGATCTAACTCCTTCTTCCACACCCCTCAGCCTGAAGGTGGGACCAGGATTAGCACCTATGTCTACCAGAAGTGAGAAGAGTAGCCTGGCACCCCCGGCAGTCACTGCACAATGGGGACATGGCCTCCAGCACAGTGCCTGTCCCAGAACTGGGGAAGGTGGGTTCTTGCTGTTATAGGAACTTGGCCTCCAGGCTGGGTTTGGCACAGAGGTGCTCTCAGTGGAAGGAGGGAACCACAGTAGGAAGGTCTGATTTGGGGGTACTTGGAACCAGTTCCAGTTTATCAGTTCCCCAAGTAGAACTGGGCCCCCAGAACTCTCCTTGGCTTTCGAGAGTCAGGGAAGGGAAACAGAGGTCCAGAAGCATTAAGGTCTACTTGGGCCAGCTCCTACCTGACAATGCTCCATTCTGGTTCAATCCGCACGATGGTGGGGTCTTCCACATACTGAAAGACCAGGTCCTGGTGGATCTTGGCCCTGTCCACCTGCACCGACACCTTCATCTCTAGCACCTCATCTGAGGACGTGGTGTTGCAGACAATGTAGGATGGAGATCGCCTGGAGGGCAGGAAGACACAGCATTGGGTGCCTAGTGTTGAGGAGGACAGAGGTCCTGAGTTAGGGCCCTCCCACACTGCTCCCTGCATGTCAGGGTGCTCAGAGGCCATGGGTGGGTGCTCTCAGATAGAAAGCTGGAGATCCGGTGACAAAGACTCTCTCCTTGGCCAAACTTTAGACAGGTTCCTCTGAGCCCTCTTTTCAACCGGGCCTCATCCCTGGGTCTGTCTTTGGCCTATCTAGTTTCATTTTTTCGCAAGAATCTGGCTAAGTCTGTTTGGGGAGAATCCTCCTGTACTTGATATCTGATCACCCTGGCCTGCCTTCAGCAAGAATCATGTTAAGTTGGTTTAGCAGGAGTCCACCTACCTTGATGTTTCCTCTTAGTGATTTTTCATTCACTGAGTCCCTTATTCTGCTCATTGGCTATAAACCCCCTGCTGTCTCTGTAGTAGTTGGAGTTGAGCCCCATCTGTTTCCCCTGTTGCAGTAGTCTTGACATCAATTGCAATCGTCCTAAGTCTTTCTTGCCATTTTAACAAGTGTCAGAATAATTGTTTCTTTAACACTACTGATGCCAGGCCTGGCCGGGTCTGATTTGGGAATTGTCACAACCCTCAGCATAGCTCTCTCAGGGAAAATCCTCTCTAGAGAATCTTAGGCCAGCTGAGGGAGCATCTCCAGCCACATTGCCTAGTGTCCTTCACTGAATGCACCTCCTGCCTTGCTCCTATCCCCTAGGCTCCAGTTCACGGCAGGTGTGCCCTTCTGGGACTGCACAGTGGGATCAAGGGAGGCAAGGTCACCTGGCCTTGTAGGCTCAACCTCAGCTGCTGGGTTGCTGTGCCTATCATCTCTGAGAAGGTCCAGCTGGCTCTGCAGCTCCCAGAGTGCATCTGACCTTGGGGAATGGGCTTTAGTTGTAGATTCCAAATTGCATTCTGGGGTATCCTAGGGTTCTGCAGAGTGGGTGCTATGGGGTCACCAGGGCTAACTGATGGGCCATGAAGCATATGGGGCCCATCCAGGGAAGGGAGGGCAGACAGGTCTCCAGACTTTGAGAGAATTTGAGCCCAAATTCTCTCCCAAAGAGCATGTCCACTTTGTTAGGCAGGAGGAGTACTTCCAAGCCATAAGGTGATTGAAACCACCTTTGCAAAAAGTATGGCAGTGAGGAAAGTCTGACATAGAAAAATTATCACAGTGCAAGTCTGACCTAACGGACCCTATCTTGCTTTTCACCTCTAAGCTACCCTTGTCCATTCCTGGGCACAGACCAAGCTAACTATAGGAGGAATTTAGTTTATAGTTTAACTTTGTAACAAAGATGATAATAGCCTTTTCCTTAAACAAATCCCCTCTTTGCCTGGGGATCAGAGAGCCCACCTTTGAAAAACTAATAAATTAGCCACGAGATCAAAAATGATGACTCAGGAGGCACATAAGCAACCAGAGGCCACAAAATTCCAGATGTTCCCAATCGCCCCTATGGATAACATCACTATTGTAAAACCTCAGATCACTGTTGGAGATACTTTTCAGATCCTGAATTCTGATTGACAAGCTGGTACCACCCAGACCAGTAATGTGGCTCAACTAGTTCTGCCATCCCACCCAGGAACTGAAGACAGCAAGAAAATCCTGGTTCAACTTTATACAATTTCATCTCCAACCCAACCAATCAGCATTCCCCACTCCCTAACCCCCTGCCTGCCAAATTATCTTTTTAAAAATCCTAGTCTCCAAATTTCCAGGGAGGCTGATTTGAATCATACAACTCCTGTCTCCCATTTAGCTGGCTCTGTATCGATTAAATTCTTTCTCTATTGCAATAATGCTGTCTCAGGAAATTGGCTCTATCTGTGCAGCTGGCAAGAAGAAACTGTCAGGTGGTTACACCTTCCCAACTCTCTGCAATAAAAACGAAACTACCCTGAAGTGATCTACCTGTCTAACCTTTCCCCATCTGGTGCTGCAGAAAGGGGCCCTCTGAGTTACCTGTGGAAGAGACAGGGCTGCTTCCCGAACATCACTACCACGTTGCTTCCGGCATTCAGGTTGGTGCCTGTGATGGTCACTTGGGTCCCCCCGGACATGGGCCCCCGGCTGGGCTTCAGATCTGAGAGAGTCAGTGTCTGTGTAGAAAGGATGTGGCCTGAGACACAACTGGGAAGGGGTGGAGGAGGCTTCTGGGCAGGCATGAGGCAGCACCCCACTCCCCCAAGCTGCTTTCTGGAATCTTTGGTAATAGCGGTCTCCCAGAGGACCAGGACAGTTTTCTTAGGCTTGTATGGATAGGTAATGCTCCAGACCCTGAGAGTTTGCATACCTACCTTAGTACTAGTAATACTAATAGTTGCCATGTACTTATTTTTTAAGTGTCAGATTATATGTCTTCATAATTATACATGTATGTGTATATAGGGATATATACACATACATATATAATTTATATCTTATAATATGTATATGTATACACATTATATGTATATCCCTATACACATACATATATAATTTAATCACCAATCAATTCTATAAAGTAGGCATTATTATTTTACAGAAGAGATTTAGAGATGTTAACTCAGTTTTCTAAGGTCACAGAGCTAAAAAATGGCATAACTGAGATCTGACCCCAGAGCTCCAGTTCTCAACCCGTTTCCAACCTACAGCTCTGTTCTTGGGTGGTAAACTGTCTCTCCCACAGGTCTCTACAAAGAGCTGCCCAAAGCACCCAGTGGCAGAGCAATGGGAAGTGAGAGCCCCAGGGAAACTCAGAGAGAGAAGCAGAAAAGAGTCAGTTGCTTTCAAGGGCTGCCCCCAGCCCTCTGCCAGAATGGGACCAGTGAGGAGTCCGGGTTGGGGGCAGGGCAGAAAAAAGCTCTTGACAGCTGGGGATTTGGAGTTGCAGTTTGTTCTTTCATTAGCATTTTAATGGAAAAACTTTCCTCAGTCCCAGGTGAGAAGTCTGTATCTGCATTTAAATGAAGATTTCTCTCCCTTCCCCAGCTACCTCCTCCTTAAAGAATTCAGCACCAAAAGTCAACCCTCTCAGTTCCTCAGAGCAGGCTGACAACCTCCTCTTGGAGATGCTTTGATAGGGAAGCTCTGGAGCTTCCCTATCACCTGGCACACGCGCCTCCAGGTCCAGGATCAGGGCACGCAGGTGGGGAGACACAGAGACCACAGTTCCTGATCTGCCTCACCAGGTCCCAGCACCCTGTCTCTGGATCCCAGGTCTAGCATCCCTGTAACATGGGCCACGTCAAGGAATAGCTTATCATTTTGGCTCAACTGGAGACCAGGAAGAGGGTGGGGTGAGGCTGCAGAAAGAGCCCTCCTTTCTCAGCTCTGCCTAGATCTCGCTGTATGACTCTGGACAAGACATTTCACCTGTCTCGTCAACAAAATCAGGGGGCTGAGCCAAAAAGTGATGATCTCCAAGGCTCCTGGCAGTTTTCTTGTTCTGTAACTTGCAGTACCTCTTCAAATGGTACTTGTGCCCCACCTTAAAGGAACCCCACCAACCTTCCCAGAGAGGAAAGGGGAGGGAGGGAGGGAGGGAGGGGGAGAGAGAGAGAGAGAGAGAGAGAGAGAGAGAGAGAGAGAGAGAGAGATAGATTGTACACACAGGCTTCAATGCAGAGATGGTCCTAGAGAGACAGAGTTGAACTCAGGGAAGTTAAAATAGATGGGGATTGGTGCTCCCTGGCAGCCTGTGGGTGAGGGTTCTTAGAAGGGGTAGAAGTCAGTAATTCCTGCAGGTGTGGCTGGGGCACTATCAAGGGGCTCACTGGTGGGGACAGGATGTTATGGATACATGTTTTAGAGTTGTGAGAAGCTATTAATTATTCAAGCCATGCTTCATAAATATTTCACGGTGAGTTTGCACGGGAAATCAAATTCTGCATTATTTGCCACCTCCTTCACTTGGAATGGAGGTGGAGGGAAGGGGGAAAGCATTCCCTGCATGGAGACCTTTAGGAACAGCTAGTGACAGCCCAGAGTGCTAATCTGGGGCCCCTTGGCCTTGGCATTTGGTTTTTGGTGAATAAACCCACACATTGGAGTCTGGCCTGATTGTCGGAGAGGACAAGTCTTCCCTCTAGCCTTGGTACTAAAAAGGGTCTCTCCAACATGCCCCAAGTCCTGGGAAAAGAGCTTCCTGGCTGTCTCAGAACTCCAGGGGAGCTAGAGGCTTCTGTGTAGGGCCCAAAGAGTGCACCTGTAAGCTTCCTGGTAGACGAGAAGGTCATGAGGGCTCGGAGACTCTGGAAAGTGTGATAGACAGGGTTCTGTCCCTTCTCACCCCCTGCAGAGGCTCATGGGGACCTCTGTCCCTCACTCCCACCTGGAATCCCTAGAAACTCTGTGCGAGGAATGGGGGTGGGCCTCAATGACACAACCCTTAAATGCAAGGGGCCAGAGAAAGAGACTAAGGTCCCTAGCACTATTTCTCCTCCCTAAAAGTCTTCCCAAGTGAACATGTGGCACCAGAGCCATTCCTCAAAGATATCCCTTAAGTAGAAAAGTGACACAAATCTTTGAGCTGCAGGGACCCACCAGACAAATGCATATTTGCCTGTGGCAACCTCTGTCATCTGTCCTGACCTGCCTCTGCTGCAGCCTCTCCTCCTCACCACCCACCCTCTTCCCTCTCCCTCCTGTTCCCATCTTTTGGTGTACTACTTTGTCAGACCTTATGCTGGGAACAGCCTCCCACCACTTCAGATCCACATGGAAAATTATATTCTCTTTGTATTATACAAATCCCATCTTTCCCTCCAGCTTCTTCTGGGAAACCTCCCTTAATGCCCTAAATTCAATCACACCCCTCTACAGGGTAGGAACAATCACACAGGCAAGACTGGACCCTTCCTGAGGGCAGATGGGACTTTCCAATGTGTAGCACACAGGCTTATTGTAAGAATAAAAGCAGAGAGCTGAGTGCATTGGCACACAGGAGCCACACAGGAAACGCCCTTTCTCCTAGGTCAGGGGGCCTCAGCCCAGCTTGCATCTCAGAATTACCCAGGATCCATAGCATTGGGTTTAATTAGTCCTGGCAGGAGGCAGGGAGAGGTCCAGGGTGTTTTGTTTAATGCCCGTCCCGCCCCAGGAGACTCTCCTGTGTCGGGAGCTTTAGCGCTGCCTATGCACTGTGGGGCTCTCAAAGAAAGGAGGGTCCTGGGCTGATCTTTGATGGAGCCTCAGCGGTGGGGGCTTGGCTGGAAATGCAGAGCAGAGGCAGAGAGTCTTAAAGGAAGCATCAGCTTAATGAGGCAGAGGTGACTCTCGCCCTATCGACTGTGTCCTCCAGGGTCCCTGCCAAGGAACCCTGCTCTGGGCAGGTGGCTGGCCAAGGCAAGTGGCTCCCAAGACAGATTGGTTTGATAAGAGGAGCAGGGCGCAAAGAGGACCCCCTGAGTGGTGTGATGCAGGCAGATGTCTGGAGTCCCAGGAAGTGGGGTGGGGCGCAGGGCCTGTGGGTATCCACAGCTCAGGACTGTGCATTCACAGACCGAGGACAGGGTCCCAAGCACAGCTTTGACGAATAAGGGGGATACGGCTCGTGCAACCAGGAGAAGGAGACAGAGAAGGTAAGGTGGCAAGCAATGCAAAGGCTGGCAAAATAGGATTGAATGGGGAAGCAGACAGAGGAGCCAGGACAATGTCTTACAGGGAGGCGAGCCTTGGCTTTTCTTGAGGTGGAAGCTGATATGATGGTAGATGGGTTACAACAGAGAAAAGCAAGGGAAGGATTTAAAGAGGCTATTGTTATGGCAAAGAGAATGGGAAAAGGAAGACTCCAGGACATAGTGATGGATTGATGTCAGGAATGAAGGCATGCTGAGCCACAGTCCAGCAGGATTGCAGGCCTAGGGGATGGACCACTGATGGGAATGGGCAAGAGAGGAGGATGCACTGTTTATGGGAGCTGAGAGCCTGGATAGGCCACGTGGAGATATGGCTGGATAGCCAGGTGGTGGTGGCCTTGATTGAGCCACAGGAGTGAGGGGCCTGACTGGGGATGCAGGGCAGAGGCAGCTAAGGTTCAAAAGAAGCCATCAGCTTAATAAGTTGGAGGTGGCTCTAGCCCTGTCCACTTTATCATTCAGGATCACTGCCAAGAACCTCAGGATGGAAAGCTGCTCTGGGCAGTGGCTGGCCAAGGAAGTCCAGTGTTTGCTTTGGCCATGCAGCAGTTTCCTCCCATTTTACTCTGGCTGCCAGGAATTTTCAAAGCCAGATTTCTTGCCCAATTTTAGCAAATACCTGGTGAATGTCATCCCTCCTCTCTCCATCTCTCTCTCTCTCTCCCCTTCTCTGTCTCTATGTCTATATCATATACTGTATATATATACACACACACACATATGCATACTTTATATACAAATATATATGTACATTTCTCATTAGTTGTCTTAATGTCTACTGGGTTCCCCTTGGAAATTCCGTCATATGCTTTCAGAAGAAGGTGGTGGGTACAAATCCTAAACAAATAAGGAAAATGACTCTTCCATGAACCCCATTATATGAGCATGTTATACTCATTTTATGAATTACCATGTGCATTCAGTGACAGCCAACTGCATCCAGGGGGTGTTTGGCCCTCAGAGAGCAGAGGTGGAGCAGATGCAGCTGCAGTCCCAGTCATGGTGCCGCACTACACTCATGTTTCTCTAAGATTTGGCCCTGACCACGTTCAAGTCTGTGTCAGGTACTGGAGCTCAGTTGCTTTCACCTCCCCTTCTAGACTGTGGGCCTCCTGAGGGAGGTGCTGTGTTGGAACTTATTCCTCATCCTAACCCCCACAGCCAGAACCATCAAGTCATAAAATCCAACTCAATTAAACAAGCACTCATTACATAATCTAGTGAGAGGCATTGTGTAAGGCGATCAATGGCTGTCAGTTGAAGAAGAAAGGAGGAGGAGGAAGGAAGATGAGATAAGGAGGGAGGGAGGAAGGATGGAAGCAAAGAAAGGAGGAAGAAAGGAAGGGAGGGAGAAAGGGATCAAGGAAGGAAGGAAGGAAGGGAGAGAGGAAGGAAAGAGAGAGAGAGGGAGGCAATGGGGGGAAAAGGAGGAAAGAGGGAGAGAGAGAGGAAGGAGAATGAATGCCAAATTCCCCATGACATATTTCAGGGCATTTGATGGCCAGGCATAAAATCCATCACTTCAGGCTTCCAGCTTCCAAAAGCAGCTCAGAATCATGAGGAAATTATACCACTACAGCTGTCATTAATCTGAGAGGTTTAGTTTTTAAAATGATGGGTGTGTGTGGCAGGGAGTGTGTTCATGTCTCCACCATCTCCATAATCACAAGGCTGAGAGATTCCAAAAGTCTCTGTCCCATAGAACTACTTGTCAGCCAGCCTTTGATGAGAGGTTCCAGGCAGGAAGGAATTTAAGGACTGGGGAGAAATCCTCAGAGAGGCCATGGAATGGGGAAGGGGGTGCTAGGGTGAGAGAGGTGAGGGCAATAGTGTGGGTAGGGGGCAATGGTGTGGTTAGAGGGAAATGCATTGGGGATGCAGGTGAGTGGTGGGCAGGGGTTAATGAGGTCATCAAATAGGGATAATGGTGGGTGGGTGCTATGGTTTGAATGCATCTTCCAAAGTCACGTCTTGAAAGCTTAAACCCCAATTAAACAGTGTTGAGATGTTGGACTTTTAAGAGGTGATTAGTTCACAAGGGTTCTGCCCTCATGGATGGATTAATGTTACTATCACAGGAACATGCTTATTATCAAAGAGGGGGTTTGTTATGAAAGGCAGTTCTACCCTCTCCGCTCATGCTCTCTTGCATGTAGTCTCCTGACTTTTCACTTTCTGCCACGAGGTGACGCAGCAAGAAGGCACTTGCCAGATGCAGCCCCTAGATCTTGGACTTCTCAGCCTCCAGAACAAGCAATCAAATAAATGACTCGTCTCTATCAATTACCCAGTCTCAGACATTCTTCTATAGCAGCAGTAAACAGACTAAGACATTGGGGTGAGGGAGAAGTGTGAGGGCGATAGGATGGCACAATGGGCCATGAGTGTGCAGGAACGGGTCAGAAAATGGAAGCAATGGTGGCAACCACAGAAATAATAAAACAAATGATACTAGAAGTCATAAATACATTGATGTAATTTTCCACAAGATCATGGGGTTGATACTATTATTATCCTCATTTTATAAATGAAGAAACTGAGGCAAAAACAAAGTGTTGAGCAATTTGCCCACGTTCACCCAGTTAGTAAGTGGAAGAGCCAGGGATCAAATCCCAGGAGTTGCTTTGTGAAGTCCAAGCTCTTGCCTACCTACTGTGCCACACTGCCATGTACCCATCTGGGGACTCTGGGCACTGAGAGCTAAAGCAACTTACCTGAAACCACACAGCCAGGCACAGCAAAGTCTGGATTTGAATCCAGGTCTTCCAGACTTCAAAGGCTGTGCTCTCACTCACTATCAGACAGGATTCTCATGAACTGAAGGAGGTTGCAGGGCAGGCCCTTGCCCTGGGTTTGCCCACACAGCTCTAGAGGGGCCCAGCAATCATGGTAATGAGCTCTGTGGCCTTTACCCAGCCAGATCACTGCTGGTCAAGACTCACCATGAAGTAATAGAGCTGCGAGGACCGGGCCATGAATTCAGGCCGACACACAGCCACGCAGATCTCCACGAAGCCTGCGTGCTGGCTGGGCTTGGCCTCCCCCATCTCACACACGATCCTGCGGGGAGGATAGGAGAAATTCCATGGGTCACAGGACTTCCAGCCAAGACCCTGCACCCCACAGCATCTACCCAGGTCCCTTTCTCCACAGTAGGATCTCAGGGATGGCCAGGTAGGGGAGGAAGGAGAAGATATCCTAATTCCTCCTAGCAGGGTCTTCTCCTTAATTGTCAGGCAGTGAGGAAACTTGACCTATGGGATCTCCTTTGAGCGAGCCTAGAAGAGGGTCCCTTTGTTATGACTCCAGATGTTCAGTCTCTAATTCATGATTATCTACTCAGTTGTCAACTAGACTGGCGGATATGTTCTAGTCAAAACCCTTGGGGAATAGGACTGGCAGAGTCCAGAGAGGCAAAGAGACTTACCCAAGGGCTGCAGCAAGTCAAACCAGAACTTGGAGCGACCTAAGGTTTTCTGGTCCCCACCTGGGAGCTTTCTGCTCCCAATGATTCGGCTGCTTCAGTGAAGTGCTTTTGCTTCCCAGCCAGCCCCAGCTTCCAGGCCAGGTGAGGGGATAATTGAGTGAGTGTGTATGTGTGTGTGTGTATGCGTGTGTGAACTTTTTCCTTTCTAAAAATTTTTATTGCTTTGATTACAAAATTTGTTTATACCTTTTTAAAAATAATCCAACAGTCAAACAGTACAGAGTATGGCAGTAAAAAGTGAGTGCCTCATTCTTCTTAAAACTTAAAACTATATATATACTTAAAACTTAAGTGTGTGTGTATATATATATCTTTGCAGACATAATATATAAATATATATGTGTACATATATCTATGTATATATGTATATGTATTCTTCATTTTACAAATGAAGAAACTGGGGCAAAGGAAAGTTAGGCAGCTTGCCCAATATATATCTTTACATACACATACACACATATACATACACACATATGTATATTTATATTTGTATTTCATATGCAGGCACACATAGGCATAAATGTGTTTTTACATATATATACAATTACACTTATAAACATACATATGTAAGGAAAGATATATGTTTTTTTTTTTAAATAAAAGCAAAGCATAACATATCCACTGCTATAAACACTTCCGTTTTTGCTCAGCACAATAGCGTGGACCTTCCTTCCCATCTCTATAGACACAGCTTGACATTTTTCTTTTCAGCAGCCTCACAGCGTCTCCTCTGATGATTGCACTATCATTTACACAACCATCTTCCTATTGAACGTTTAGTTGTCCTGATTTTTCTGCTACTCCAAATTATTCTGCAAAATGAACCAACTGACACACACATCCTTAGGCACTATATAGTAGGATAGATTTCTAAGGAGGGAAACTGTTGGGTCAGTTTGCGTATTTAGTATTTGGTAGGTAGAGCCAAATAACGTTCTAAGAAGTCTGGACCAGGCACTTCTATTGATGGTCTGCTCTTTCGCCAACACCAGATATGAACAATCCAATGGGGAGTAATCTCATTTTAATTTTCATTTTTATTTCACAAGTTATGAGTGAGGTTTCATATTTTTTCACATGGGTGTGTTTTTAAAATCTCATATAGCCTTTCCTTTGACTTTTCTGGTGAAGCCCTCTTTCTTGCTGATAGATTGTCTGAATTAGGAGTATTAACTTTTGTCTGTTATAAATATTGCAGTGATTTTCTCCTTGCTTGTCATCTTTCAACTGTGGTTCCAATGTCTTTTGCCACACTAAAGTTTAAAAGCACCTGTGTGGTTAAATTGGTTGTTCTTTACTTTGTGGCTTCTATGTTTTATGTTTCTCTTAGAAACGACTTTTGAGTAAGGTTCCAGAACAAGTAATACCTTGCTATCCAGATCACATAATTAATGCATGTTTGGTGTTTAAAAAAAATAGAAAGTACATAAAAGCACTTGTCATACTTACATACCCCCCAGTTGTACCATTCAGAATGTAATTTTCCATAAGACCATGGAGTAGATGCCATTATTATCCTCATTTTATAAATGAAGAAATAGAGGCAAATAAAATGTTGAGCAACTTGCTCACATTCACCCAGTTAGTAAGTGGCAGAGCCAAGGCTCCAGTCCCAGGAATCTCCTTGTAAAGTCCAAGTTCTTGCCTATGTACCATGCCACACTGCCTTGCACCCACGTGAAACATCCAGTGTCAACGTTTTGGTGTTTCTGTAGCCAGTCTTAATTTTCTTTTACAAAACTGATTCGAAACTCTATATTATGCTGGTAACCTGTGTTCCAAGAACCTGTGTTCTCACTTAATATACTTTGAGTATATGCCTGGTCATGATTCTTCTATAATATCAGATTTAATGGCTGTGTAGTTTTCTTTCCTGTGCTTATACAATAATTAATTGAATTGACGAATTCCCTGTTTTTACACATGTAAATCACTTCTCAGTTTTTACTATTATAAATAAGGCTGAAATAAGCATTCTTGAAAATAAATAGTTGTGTATTCTGGTTATTTAGAGAAAGTTCTGGAAGTGTGATGGCCAGGCTAAAGGCCTTTGACCCACATTTCCAAATCTCCTTCCAGAAAGTTTGTCCCAATTTCCCCTTGCACCATGAGTGAAGGAGTCAGCTACTTCTCATGCCTCTCCTGCACTGGTCATTAACTTTCACAAACCACTCCCTAGTGTTTTAATTTGCATTTCATTGATTACTACTGCTGTTAAACATTTATTTTTTGTATGACTTTTGGTTCTTTTTTAATCTCATAAATTGTACGTTCAAGCTCTTTGATCATTTTGTGATCTTTGCCTTTTATTTATAAAAGCTCTTTATATATAAAGAAGAAGTATTTATTAACTATAATAGGATGTAACCAGACTCCTAGTTTATCATTCACATTTTTATTTTGCTTGCAATGATTTTTGACGCACAAGTTTTAAGGTTTTAAGTACTCAAATCCCCTAATCTTTTTCTTTATAATTTCCTCTGTTGCAGTTATACTTTGCACAAGTTCGCCTTCTTGAAATCAAGTAAATTTCCACCTGCATTTTCTTCTAATCCTTTCACAGTTTCATTTTTTAAACGTAACTCTTTAATCCATCTGGAATTTATTTTGGTGTATAATGTGGAATAAGGATCTGCTATTGTACTTTTTCCAGGGAGTTAACCAGCATCAATTATTGAATGATCTTTCCTTGGGTGATTTGAAATATCACCTCTATTACAAACTAAATTTGTATGCATCAGCATTCTTTTTCTGGGTCCTCTATCTTACTTTACTGATCTAACTGGTATCACATTATTTTAATCATGTGGCTTCATAATACTTTTGATATCTGGATATGTAAATCCAAAGTAGGATATTTAAAATTCCTCAAATCACAATATATTAGCAGTGGCCTAGTTTGGTTTCATTCCAGAAAGGTGTCAGAAAGTTGAAAGAGCCATAGAAAGATCTTTTGGTAACTAACTGGTGATGGACCAGAGAGGTGAGTCCTACCAAGACCAGATCCTTAAACCATCTGATCTGCTATGAGCATCTTGGGGAGACCTCATGGAAATCAGGAGCAATTGAGGATGGCAGTAGTGATAGTTCAGAATCAGTAAACCTAGGCAAGACCCAGCAAGCAGAAATGGAAACTGCACTCACATACCTAGGGGAGGCCTTGTGAAGAGTCAATAATTTATGCATACAGCACAAGTGACAAGATTTCACTCCAGGAGGTGCAACAAAGACGGTATGGAATAGAGATTCTATAGTGCTGGTAAACATTTTCATAGTTGTGTTTGCTGGGCTGGAAGATGGTGCTTACTTATTTACAAGGCCACGCATGATTCACGAACCTCCTCTACTAGATGGGTTACAGGTCAGGGTCATTTGTTGAATGACCTATTTAGTGGGCCAGCAGACTTTCAAAGAGAAAAATAATCTAAGGCACCCACAGCCTGAGAGTGGGTGTGAATTTCATTGTCAGTTTCCACAGAGAGTAGCACAGGATCAGTGCTGGCGGAGGGATATGAGTAGGAAGTTGGGGAGAGCAGAAGGAATTGGACTCATACTTCTCTTGCAGATTTTCATTTTGTTTTGTCTCCCTTCCTTCCGTGCAGCCTTATACCCCAAGTAGGTAACGGTCACCTTTCTCTCCCAGCTATTTCTCCTTTTCCTCTCTACACTTTCCCCAGTATGGCAGCTAGCTAGCTGAGCACGCAGGGAGTTGTGGGAGTCCACCCTCCAACTCTAGAATATTAGGGTGATTCTCCTTTTTCCCCCACAACAAGCTCTGAGAGCACCTAGTTGCTGACCAGGACATCCCTAATACTAACCTGTCTTCCCTCCCCTGTTCCTCCTGTGCTTTGGGCAACTTCACTTACTGTTCTGCAGGGACGTAACCATCCACCAAAGGGCTGCACTCCACACCAGCCACCTTGACATGGGAGGCGATGTCGCGAAATTCCAGGCCCAGGTTCTCCCCTCGGATAGTGACCTTGGTGCCCCCTTCCCGGGGGCCTGTCACTGGGATTATCTAGAGGCAGGAAAAGAAGTAATTAGACAGACACCAAGATACTGCCATCACTCACTTGCTGATGAGGCCAGGAGAGGCTGCTGGCTCTTCTCTCGTCTGTCCCAGAGTCCCTGAGTGGCTCAAAGTCCCCAAGGGCACCCAAAGCCTGTGGTAATCAATGTATAGTAGCTTCCAGGAAAACAGTCCGTGTTTGTGTGTGTCCCTAGGAACAATATTCAAAGCCTATGGTACATCTTCCCATTTCATAGAAGAAGAGAGGAGGGGATGGAACGTGACCAGCAATGCTACTGGGTGATTCATAGAAAACTGGGATTCATGCCTTCTAGCATTTGCTTGTGTTGGTTCTACTCTCAAGGAAAATAAAAACCCCTGCTATCCACCCAGAGCCCTCTATACCTATGTGACCCTACCCACCTCTCAAGATGCTTCTCAAATGACACTGCCCCACAACCCTGTGTTCTTCCTCTCTCCACTTAAATTCCAAGATACCTTCTTTGTGACACTTACATGGCAACAATTCTTTGTGCCTGTCCCTCATCCTTCCCACTCCCAGCCCCCTCCTCCTCCGATCCTGAGTCTCTAGGAGCAGGTCTGTCTCACTCCTCCTTGTGGGATTTTCAGTAACATTACAATCTTTATGTCTTGCATTGTCACTGTAATAAAACCTACAACTGTCCAAACATCTTTCCGGAATTGTTATCAGCATTTGTCACAACTCCTTTGCCTTTGCTGTTTGGCCTGGTACCACATGGATTTAGGTTTAATTTCAATTTTATCCTCATACACAGGTCAAAGTGTATTGGCTTTCTCTCCTAAATCCATGTCAAAAACCCATGATTAAAATGTGAGGACTCAACATCCAAGTGCCTGCTTTGAGGTGGGGGCTGTACAGTTAACACAATCTCATCCTGGCGTTTCATGGGCCAGAGAAGGGCATGCTTCTGTTCCTGGCACCTATGAGCACCAGCACCTGGACCTTAGCCAATGTCAGCAGGATTAGAATGGAAGGAGCCCAGAGATTCTATCTCTATTCCTTTCCAGCATATCCTACTCTCCTCAACCCTGCAGGGCCACAAGTGGGAATTCCAACCTGGGGTGAGGGTGAAAGAAGGAGGAAGCAGAAGAAACTAGGCTGTGCTCCCCTCCCCACCAAGTGGCAACTTCTCCAGGTGAGACTGCTTACCTGCCACAGTCAAGCTATCTCCCACCTCCTACACATCTCTGTGAGGGTGCGTGTGATTGTCAGTGAGTGCATGCAGGGTGTGAGCCTGTGTATAAGTGTATTCCCATTGCAGTGGAAAAACAGCTTCCCTGGAGACATAGGCCCATTTCTATGAGAGGGATGTGGACAGACATGGGGAAGGTTGGAGGGAGAGTCTGTGTTCTTCCCAAGTGTCTGCCTGGCCAGTCCCCAAAGTGCCACTGGCACCTGGCAGTGGTGTCCCCATGATATTCTAGCCCTGGCTTGTCATAATGAAAAAGGAATTTTATCTCTGGCCCACTCCTTAGTTCCCCAGGTTCCCCTAGGGCCAACGCCAGTATGGAGGCAGTAAATAGCCTCTGTCACAGGGAGATCTGTTTAATTTGCCATCTCCTCCCTGTGATTTTCTTGGACCCAGGCCAAGAAGAAAGCAAGTTCCACCGATAGCACCAGACACACTGCCATACACAGCAGCCCCCTGGGTTGGTTTCTTGTTGAGGGCTCTGGGAGGAGCCATTCCACAGAGGAGGTGTGAGGGTGAGGGGTGGGGACTGGGAAGGGAGGACATGGGCCCCAGTGTGGGGTTGGGGGTAGTGGGGAGAAGAGAGGTCCACCTGTCCTCCTATCCCAGATCATTCTGTAGGTTAATTCTGCAAATATTTCCTCCAAGTCTGAGAATAACTGTTTAGATTCCTACCATGCAAGAGACTGAAGTGGGGACTGAGAGAAACTCTCAGAGCCTGTACAGCCAGGAAGGTGGAGGATAAAGGATCTGAAGCATGGGGCACATTTTGAGGGCCACCCCAAGGGGCTGCTTTGCTGGGTGAGGCTGTTCATCCACAAAACCCATAATCTTGCTTTCACACATCCCTGGTGCACATGCACAATTTGTCAGTGGGGGTGTGAAGTCTCACCATTGTAGTGGAGGAGAACAATAACCTAGGAGAACATTACTCAGGAGACCTGGGATTCAGGACCATGTTACTGACACTTTGGTTAGAGTATGTGTGCCTCTCTGAGCATTAGCCTCTGTCTGGAAGAGAATAATAACCTGATGATAACCCTGGCCTTGGGAGACATTATGGGTTTGAACTGTGTTTCCACCAAAGTCACAGGGAGAAGTCCTAGACCCAGTGTCTCAGAATGTGTCCTTATTCAAACACAGGGTCTTTACAGAGGCAATTAAATTTGAAGGAGACCGTTAGGATGGGCTTTGGTACAATATGATCTAATGAAAAAGGGAAATTTGGCCACAGAGAAATGCAGAGAGAGAAGATAATGGGAAGCCACACAGGGAGAAGATGGTCATCTCCAAGCCAAGGAGAGAGATGGGGAACAGATACCTCCTTCACAGTCCTCAGGAGGAACCGACCCTGCTAAAACCTTGACCTTGACTGTCTGTCTACCTCCTGAACTACAGGATGATCCATTTCTGTCATGCAAGCTGCCTAGTTGGCAGTACCTTGTGACGGCAGCTCTGGGACTCCAATAGAACAGGTGGTTGTTTGGACAAGGTAAGGGGTATAAAGGTGCGGTGCAACTATTAGCCATCACACAAATATATGGCCTATATTTTTGCCTGCCACTGTTAAGTGATCATATACTGTGTGCATTTGTGAAACTGTGCACAAAGCCTCGTACCAGTTCGTCCTCACTGTTCACTGAGGCAGAGACTTGAGTCTTTATCTTCTCTCCTTCCCCCCTTCCAGCTGCTTCATAATCCTGATCAGCATCCACAATGGTAAAGAGGTATTGAGCACCTACTGTTTGCTCAGCCCTGAGCTGGAGGCACAGATGCCATGGTGCCACAGGTGCCATGGTGCCACAGGGGAGGAGCATGTGGAGAGAGAGATGCAGCCCTCTTTTTTATTTTAAGAGGGAGCAAGGGACTTTGGCCATGCTGGAAGAGTAGAGGAGTTGGAGGAGAAGAGACAGGACTACTTAAATTAACTCCACGGGCAGTGATTTCCTTGGCTTAGACACCCCTGGGAATGATTTTATCAATGATGATGAGTGAGGAGGAGTCTGGTGAGATCCCCACGCACTGGGCCCGGAGCGAGGTACCTTGCCTGCAGGTGCGCATGAAATTCTTCCAACTCCCATGTAAGTGGGATGCTGAGGCCCACCACACATGTGAGGAAGGTGAAGTGTAGAGATAGTAGCCACACCTAGGTACCCAACAAACAGCTGATGGAGCCTGGATTCAAACCCTGTTCTCTGGGTCCCAGTGTCTGCATGTTTAGCTCTTCCCTGTGTTCCTCCCTGGGTCTTCGCTCCATGGCCTGTGTCCCGTTGGTCCCCCTAAACTGTGCTCCATCTTACAGCTCAGGGCCTGTTTTGGCGGAGTTCGAAGGCCTCTCTGTTGTGACCTTCTTCACCTCCCCAGAGCCAGGCTGTGACCCAAAACCCATGCAACCTCCAATCACGGGCTGACACTTGGTGAGGGTGCCACTGGTGGAACTTCAGGCCTTGCCACCGAGGCTCTTAGAGACAAAGGAAAGGGCTGGCAAGGACTGAGTCCTTCCTGACCCAGCTCCTCGGAGATTCCAACAGGACAGTCGAGCCGCAACAAGAGTCTCTGATGCAAGCCTAACCTTCCAGGGAAGCCATGAAGGAAAACTAGGGCACCACCCAGTCAGGAGGAGCAACCAAGTCCACCCGGTGACCACTGGGTGACTGACACCACGGCTGGGCAGTTTCCGCAGGGTGTGGCGCAGCAGCCTGGAGCCTGTCCGTTTGGAGCAGGAGGCCCGACCCCGGCTTACCTCTGTGATGCGGGGGTTCGTGCACTTGCTGTTGGCACCAGACAGCTCCAGCCACCGGCTCTCCTGGGCAGGGCAGTGCTGGCGCAGGGTACACTGGCCCGGACTCTGGCACCAGCCACATGCGAAGTCTGGGTCAGCCTTGAGGCATAGCCCGCAGCTCTCGCGCATGGCTCCACACTTGTAGAGGTGAACTGCAGAGGGGAAGGGCAAGGGCAAGGGGTGCTTGGGAACGGCAGTGGGGACAGGAGGGGGCCAGAGAGGGACAAAGAGTGCAGTCCCAGCCTGGGGCAATGGGGCACAAAGGCAGCTTTGCCCCCTTAGCCATTCTGATGCAAAAAAGAACCAGAAAGAAAGTCCAGGCCAGAGCAGAGGGACTGAAATGGGAAGCTCTGGGAACTCTGTTCACTCAGCACTCAGCAGCCCTTCCCAGGAAGTCCTTTGCACGCCACCTCCTCCCAGAAGCCACCAGCCCAGGTCAAGCTGTACAGAGCCCATGCTCAAGAAGTAACAGAGAAGCACAGATGGTGGAGAGGCTGTGAGGGAGGGGCTCAGAGGGACAGGGACAGCCACCAGGAGGCGGGGGCAGAATGACACCTGCGAGAATGCAGGGCGGCTCCTTCCCTCTCTACCCTGTCCCTTCCCCTCCCTCCCCTGCCAGGCCCCAGCCCTTCCACACCTTTATTCTGAGCTGGGTTGTCAATGTTGAAATGCCCATTCCACACGACTGTCAACTCCACGGGCAGGTTGTTGATCTCCATCCCTTCATAAGAATACTGCAGCCAGGTTGGAGAGGAGGAAAGAAGAAAGTGGGGTCACAGAGAGTTCTAGAGAGGGCCCAAAGGATTAGCCTAGGGCTGTTAAGAGCTCATGGGCTAAGGACTGGCCAAGACTGTGCCTGTGTGCCTGTGTCTACCTGTGTGCACACAAGTATGCGCAGGCACATGTGGGTACAGGTGGGGAAGTGTATATTAGAGGGAGTGGAAGATAACACAAGGGTGGGCCAGGCCTCCAAGCATGCCCCTATGGGTGCCAGCTCAAGGAGCAGATGGGAGCAAGCCACTAGGTCATCTCCTGTGGGTCTCAGGCAGGAAGCCTGTTCCCACCCCGCTTTCCTGAGAGGTAAAACTGAGGGAAG